GACAGCAGCGTGTTATTAACTCAGCAGAGTATTTCTGAACAAAATTAGGGCATCCTCAGAGACACTGTGGTGATAATAACTTTGTTCTGCAACAGGATGGAAAGCCCAGGCTTGTGATCCTGGGATTTCACAGAATGGGTCGTACGAGGAGAGTAACTTGTGCACCTAATGAGCGTGCTGCCAAGTCAGCATTTGGCTTGCGATCTAGTGGCCACGGAAGGAATAGAGAAGTTAGTTAGGGGAAAGGGCCACTTTCAACTTGGTTAACGACTTGAGCTCCCCTCCTGCTTTTTCAAGCAGTAACAGCGTTTGTCCTTAGCAAACGGGAGCGCACGGACTGTTTGTGAGGGAGAGGGGTGGTGGTTGTTCCCACAGCTCCTCGTGGCTTTACGCAGCTGTGCGGCTCAGGAAATAATCCTGTATGCTGGGGAACCTCTGCTCGCACAGCCCCCAGGTGATGGTGCCACTGGAAGTGGGATTAGGCTGCAGCATGTGACCGACTTCTGTATCTGTGGACCATGCCTGGGATTTGGGGATGAATGCTTTGCAAATGGCAGTTTTATAATATATAATCTGACATCACCTTCAAATATCCAGCCAGGGCATGAAGTATAGTTGTCATGTGCCAGTTTGGCATGGGATGTCACTTGTATTTTGCTCTATTAGTTCAGAAGTGGCAGTGTATTAAAATCAAACCCTACATGTCCCTGCCAGCCTCGCCAGCCTGGTTCTGCGCCCACTGCGTTGCCAGTAATTCCCCCCGCTGTTTGCTGCTAGGTTCACGCAGAGCCACTCTGTCCAAAGTCTCAGTGCAGTTAATTATCTGTATTAAAATTGGGTTGATAAGATTTCTGGAGATGTCACACTGAGCTGTGCAGGAGTGCAGAGAAAATTAAGGACCAGAGGCAGTGCTGCTAATACAGGGGGAAGCCGGCTGGCTCAGCAGCGAGCTGCGGCTTTGCAGGAGGACAAACATTCAGCGTGTCGCACCCTGTCTGCCTCCCTGACACAAAGAGCCCAGTGCTGCCGTTTGTCCTCCTGCGACGCCAGGAGGGTGAGGGAGCCTGCTCGTCCTGCTGGCAAGCGTCCTGCTCACAAATCCCACAGGGCACCCTCACCCCTCGCCCCGGTTAAATTGTGCAAGAAAAACCTTAAACGCGAACTTTCATGCTGAACAAGCAGCGAGAGTTTTCAAAAATAAGCAGCAGCCCAGAAATGCCTCTCCCCAGGCAGGCTGTGGCCAGGCAGCCCACTCCTCCATGGGAAGAGGTGAGCCCCTGATATTTCTTTACCCTCTCTGGCTTCCTAAATCTTCCCATACTAAGACCTCCCAGACGCTCTGTTCTTCATGTTCTTCTCGAGTAGATCAGCTCTTCTTTCCTCTTACCTCCCGAGCCCCCTCCTAATTGTTTTTTTTCTTTTTTTTTTTTTTTTTTTTTGTCTTCCAAGTTACCCTTCTGTCTCCCACAGAGATGCTAATGAAGTGTGAGTGTACATGGATGCGGGCTGCTGGGGAATTTGACAGGGCTCTTGCCCAGCCCTTGTTTCCTCGTTAACCTTCTGCTGCACGAGGAAGCAAGAGCTTCGTCTCTACCTCCAGCTTTCCCAAGCCCTCGGATATTTTTTTTCCTTAAATATACTCATAACTGTTATTTTGTTTATTAGGAGTGGAACAGGTGCCAGCTGAATTGCCTGTGTAAGCCGTTTAGATCAAGAAGTGACATGCTGGCACGTTAGCCGTGAGCAGAGCTCCTTTTGCCAACTGCTTTAGGGGACACGAGCTCAGGTTTTCCTATGGCTTTGTGCAGGTGGTACCCAACCGTGGCGCTGCGCCCTGCCTCTGAATGAAGATTAGTTAAAGAAGTGCTGAGATCAGACCAGGGACCCCCTGCCTGAGTTGTTTCATGGCCAACCTATGCAGCATCCCGGAGAAGAGCACCTTTCTGCCTTTCTTTTTTCCATAAACACCACCTTAGCAGGCTGTGTGATAAAATTGTAGAATTTAAGGCTGGAGAGTTCAAAATAATGGAGAAGCCTAGATGTCCAAATTATTAAAAGCAATGGGATGCGTCAAGGCTGACTGAGATGGTTTTGCAAGTATCGGCCACCAAAATTTGTCATCTCACAACTTATCGTTTCATCGATGAAACGAGTAAGGGCAACTTTCTGAGCAGAGGCTGCATCTCCTCAAGTGACCAGGAAGAAGGGGATACATCACCAAAGGGAACGTTAGTTACCATGAAAAATTCCAAAGCAGATGATTTTTATTTTATCTTTTTTTTCAATCCTTGTTCTCAGTAGACTCTTTTTCTTATAGGAAGTCAGCTGTAATTCCTTCTTTTCAGGAATAAGTGAATTTTTTCTGTAATAGTGGACAATCTCCCAAGAAAGTTTCAACGCTGTACAAATGACACCTAAAATAAACAAATTCTCAGCAGCTCTATGCTGGCACTCTTCTCAACTTACTATCCACCCCAGTATTACAAGTAGGATGTAGTTTGGCTTTGCTGAGCCTTTTTCAGACCCAAAGTACCAAATTTTGATCTATCTGCTGAGTGCCTATTGTGGGAAATTTGGAGTAACTCCACTGAAGTCAATTGGGCTGCCCTGGATTTACAGTGCTGTAAATGAGATCAGAATTTGGCTCAAAGTATATTCCATTAATGAGTCAGATACTGGCAATGCAGCCAATGTGCACCCAGAAATGGCTTTAACACAGCCTAGGATATTCAAAATTGTTTTATTGAAAGGCGGGCTGAAGGCCAGGATTCTGGGGTTCTCTTTTATTCTTTCCATGAAATTCACCTTTATGCAGACGGCCAGCACGAGGCCGATGCAGAACTTAAGAGCCATTTAAGCTCTCAGAAATAGGGCTTGTGAGATGCATAAACATCGCGCTGAGCTCTCTGCCTGCCCCAGAGCAGATTTATCACTCGGAGTTCAAGATGTTCTAGGATTTATCAACTTTTACGGGTTTTTAAAGATTTTCTGTATGTTAAGTGACAGAGCGAGACCGTTTGTAAAACCTTCTGACACCGTGGATGATCTGTTGCAGGCCGGGTATGGCACAGCAGGGCAAGGGTTCATAGCTGACATTTGGAAGTGCTACTACAGGAGAAACAATAAATAAGGATTAAGCGGCTTTGCTTTGGAAGAAATCATTGAGTCAAATCCCGAAGTCTTTATTCAGAGGTAACCTGAGTAAATAGTTCACCTCTCTAAGCAATGACATCATGGGCTCTTCCTCAGCATCGCCAGCCCTTCTCAGCACCCTACGGGCAGCTCAGGTTGTGCCTTCCCTTCCCATCCTAGCTGATGTGGTTAATTTTGGAGACCTCTCTATAAAGACAACCTGTGAAAAATGTAGATGGTGAGAATCTCCTCCTTGTGAAACGTGAGGAGGCTGGAGAGAGCCGTGGCGCTGTCTGTCTGTCTGTATGTCTGTGCTCAGCGTTGGCTGCGACCTGGCTGTGCGGTGTGGAAGGCCAGGATGAGATGCCAGGGAGATGTGTGTGTGAGCCTGGGTGGCAGGAGGGTGCGTGACTTCAGGCAGCCAGTCCAAGGGGCCAGACGGGGACACGAGTCAACTTTTGGGCTATTTCTTGGCAGCTGTTTATTGGCAGACTGTGCTCCGTGGGCTGTTTTTGTGTGGCTGGTATTATCATGTTCACACTTCTTCACGTTGTAAACACCTTTCCCATTTACCTACAGCCAAAAAAAAAAGTAGCTTTGCAAAAAGAAAACGAAAAACTGTCTCCAGTAATTCCAGAGTGGGTGTGTGTGTGAAGTCTGTGCACATGCAGATATAGAAGCCATAAAAACCATGTGGCTAGCTGGTAGCCTTGATCACAGCAAGACAAGTGAAAATGTGCTTCAAGTCGAGATGATTCATTCTGGCTTTTGTCCTTCATGCTATTTTCACTGTTGCTTTAGCTGCCTCAAAACTAGAAAGCAAAAGCCGTAAACTGAGAGCGGGAGAGGTTGTATTTGCCACATCCTGCACACACCAGGCAGCTGGCAGTACCTGGGATAAAGCAGATAGGGATAAATCTTAGGAGGCTGATCCAGGGACGTTCTAGGTTACTCGGAGCCCGTTGCAGTACCAGCTTTTGCCCACCTTCTTCACCGCAGAGGTTTCAGTTAACCTCGGGGCAGTGCTGCTGTATCGTGATAACCTCTGCAGTGGTGTATGCGGAGCAGTACTACAGAAGGGAGGGAAGTGACTCTGGGTTTACATCTGGGTTTACATTAACGCTGATCCGAATCTGCCCCCAAGCTGTTTGCCAGCCCTAATTACGCTCTGACTTCATGGCTGATGCAGTCGCAGAGTCAGCTGCTCCCCCCTCCCTCCTCCCGCCCGGCTGAAGTCACCTCATCCCGAAGGCCAGCGGAGATTTCTCCGCTGAGGTTTCTGTAAGATCACTCCTTGCCACAGTCTCTGCAAGCTAGACAACACAGCCTGAAAGTTGGGATCTGCCCCAGCAAATGCTGGTATCAACAAACCTAGGTATAAATGCAGGAAATGGGAATTTCACAGTCGATGCCCCTTGGGCACCTCTCCTGCTAATTTGCACTTAGATGGGTGCCTTTCTCTGAGCACTTTATTAATTAAGGCTTGCAGCCCACCTATGAGGCAAATAAGTTATTACTGCCCTCATTTTACAGCAGCAACTGCAAGAAGTGGTTTGCCCAGGGCCACAAATCTAATCAGTGGTGGAACCAGGAGCGAGCGAGCTCTTCCAGTCTCTTGTGATACTCAGTGCACCCCATTGCCTACCTGAAACAAAATTAATGGCTTCCCTAAAAGTTAACATTTTTGTTAACGTGATGTAAATGAAGATGGATCGCCCAAAAGAATGAGCCTCACAAAGTGAGAGCTCACCAGAATTCCTGCAGCAGCGCAGATAAAGGCGTCATCTCTTGTGTTGAACCACAAAACCGTCTTCCCCATAAATTATATACCTCTTCTAGTCAGTAAATTTAGCAGGAGGGTTCAAGCATAAATTTAAAAGAAGCTTTTATTGTAACCAATGCATCAATATAATTAAAACCAAACACAATTCTTTTGCTTTCTTAGGCTGGAGGAAACCCTGTGCCCTTGGAGAAATTGTTTCCCCTTTTCCTACAGGGAATCCAGAGCCTGAGCAGCAGCTGTGAAGAGTGGAGATAAAGAAAGAAGTGGAAGATGTTGGAAGTGCTTTGGGCAACGTGAAGAAGGATTTGCACTGAAGGAGCTGTTCAAGGGCCCAGCAGCAAAACAGAGACACATACATGCTTATATATAGAAGAATGTAAACCCTCCTGTATGCATACGTTAAAACGTGCATGCCTTGTTGAGAACGTAAGCAACATTCCTTGTAGATGATGGTGGTCTGAGCATTCGTGCTCCTGCAGTCTGAGTCAAAAGATTAGTGATGTCCTTGCTGTAATGCTAGCATTTTCTCCACTGCACCTTGTTTGTGGTGACATAAATGTCCCTTTCAATGCAGCAGGATGAAAAATTATCTATACATCCAGAGTTAAGTAATACCTTGACCAAACTCGCTGCAAAGCGGGCATGTTCTAGCCTTGGTGGCGGAGGAAGAGGTGCTTAGCAGCTTGGACAACAGACAGTTTGTGTGTGTATATATTAAGCGCTATAGCACCAGGTGAGATAAGCTTTTCTTAAGACTTTTGTTTCTCTGGTGCTACATTTACTATTTGTCTGGGGCTAAACTGCCTCTTTGTGGTGCTACAGTTTCCCCAAGAGGATGTTCTGAAACATGGGACAAGGAGAAATCTATTTTGGTTATTGATATTTATACACAAGATAGCAAAAAATAATACTTGTTCAAGAAGGTGCTATTTTTTTTTCTTTCTTTCAACCTCTGCATAAATTAAGACAGAAAAGTAATTTAGCCCAGAACTATATAAAACTAATTTTCTTTGGGGCAGTTCTTTTTCTTTTGTCAGTTCCGAGCTTGGGAAGCAGCATTCGCTGAGGTGGCAAAGACACACCAGCTCCTTTCACTGCAGTGTACATGTCAGATCTGCTAATGCAGAATCTTCTACAGCTCTGGAGCTGGGTGTTCTCCTGGATGCTGACTGAAGTGGTCTCAAATCCTGTCAACCAGGATTTGAAGAAAAGACCTATAGAAAAGAACTATATCTAGACTAATCAAGAGACTAGAGGATAATAGGAGAACTTGTCCTTAGAAATCAAGAGGCTTTTCCCAGCCTAGTACTGAGCACTTTTTTTCTTGCAGCCAAAACTACCTGTCAGATTCAGGATACCTTCCAGAAGCTATTTACGGTAATTCTTAGGCACATGTTTTAGAAACATTTTTCCTGGCTTCAGATATTTGCAGCACAAAATTAACCTTCACATGGCAGGGGTGAATTTTCAAAGGCATAAAGGGATGTCAAGATTCCAGTTTCCAAAGTTTGGCTCCTTGTCTTTTAAAAATACTTTCTAACCCCTGCCCAATCAAGGAACAAACCGAGCAGTTGCTATGTCCCAGTCAAACTTCGCATTTTTGACTACTGCAGGAGAAATGTTTCTAAGCAATCTAAAAGCTAAATTCTCTCTTTATCAAATATTCACCAATGTGTTTTGGGCACCTGCACACATATTCATGGGAATTATTGATCCAAGTCAATTCACAAACAGCAGAAAGGGCTACGCTGAAAGAGCAAATTGTTGCTAATGAATAACCTTGCCCTACTTTATTTTATGTGCAGTGGTGGGAGGGATCATGTAGCTAAGTGTATTTTGTCTATTGATAGAGTTTGGATGGCCTCAGAACCACAGGGACTACATCCACCGATAAAACATTTTTCTACCATTTTTGGCCTGATGCTCACTAATACTAGGCATCCTGTATTCCTTCCTGGCTCAGTCTCTGATCAGAATAAGAATTCTTCTAGCAAATGGAGGAGCCTCAGCTGATTTCAGCAGGGTTGCAAGTGCTGGATTAGTGATTGCTGGATCAGGCATAGTCTTAAAAATACAATCTTCTGCAAATCACTCAAACAAGGAAGCGAACTTGTGTGTTCCTGTATTGCACAATAGTCAAATTTGAACAGAAAATAATTGATTGGGAAGACTGGATGCATAATTTTGCTATAGAGGACACATAACCTGAAGGGGGCCTTCCCTTTACCCCTTCTCTCACCCTGTGTGTGTACCCCATACACGGAGGTAGCCTTTTGACAACGCAGCCAACAGAGGAGCTAGCTTACATTTCTCAGTTTCAAGTATGAGGGCTCTCCCACATTTCCTCACCCTTAACAATTACTGTTAGCTCCTGAGATCTGAATGTTTTAATAAACTACTAACCTAGAATGTGCATTACTTTTCCCTTGCATCTTCTGTGCATACGGTTTGCACTACCACTGTTTTTTCCTGCAATGCTGGCTATTTGGGCTTGCAGCCTTGAGACTTCTTGCAGCATTTTTTCCCAAAGAGGCAGTTCCCCTGAAACACTACAGCACACAGCAAAGGAAAGAAAAAAGAAAGTTCTGTTCTTATCCCTTTGGGAAAGCCCCTTAAATCAGTGACCAACCTGAGCACGAAGTGATTGGCTAATCTTCCTGAGTCCTAACTCACCATGGACAAGCTTTTCTGAAAAACAAGCAACCGAACCAAACCAAAACCAAACAAAACAAAACAGAACTCCCAGGGAACCAGCCTCTTCCTTGGTTGTTCCCAACATTCACCACAATGGCAGAAGGCATGATGCCTGTTGTTACTCTCATGAAATAAGAACCAAATCTATGGTGCTTCCCAAGTATAAACAAGAGCAGGAACAGACTCCAGATCCTGCTTTAATCCTGATTTGCTTCACTTTTGTAGTTCTAAATGGGATGTTTGATGTGAACCAAGGGTTAACTTTTGGAGACTTTCATCTATTAGTTGCTGGGTCAAGCAAGCTTTGCTAGAGAAACAGCTTACCAGCACTTTATAGCTAGCATTCACTGTACATAAATGGAATTACTTAATAGAGGGTATGTATTTGTCAAAGCCTTACATTTTCTGGTATAATTGCTATTCTTGAATGCCTCCATTTTTTGAAAAGGGGTGTTTTTATCCTTTTTAAAATACCTGATTTAACCCTGGTTGATGTTTGTACTAGAAAAGAAAGCATGCTGTATACTCCCCTAGTGCTGTTCATACTGCATCGCAACAGCTGTGTGAGGTGGTGGGGGGTTTCTGTACCTTCCTCATGGGTAGGAAACCAGCACAGTTCCTCTCTTTCTCTCTCCTTTTTTTTTTTTTTTTTTTCAGCAGCCAAGAAGTCATTGATTTTGATTAGCTTCGCAGTTGTGCCTCGGTGAAGACTGGGGAGTGCTCTCTAAATGAAAAAAAAGACCTCATCTTAGGTTTCAGCAGACGGTGCGTGTGCAAGCCAGAGGAGGAGGTTATGAGATCATAGTCTATATAGAACACTGCATAATGTGGCTGTGAGGAAAGTCTTTATTAATTTTTAAAGCAGCACTCCACCAAGATAGCTCCTATCACATATTGGAATTTCATATTTCAAGTTAAAAAAGCAGTACAGCATGGACCACTAATCAGTTCCTCTCCCCTGACTGTTAAAGAAGTCACTTGGCCAAATTAATTCTAGGCTATCACCACTGTCTGATTACAGACAGCTGCGTTACACCCAGGACAGAATTTAGTCTATTGATTCCAGATTCCTTCTTAGAATTATTTTCTGTAGGTAAGAAAATATGGAATGGGACCAGTTCTACCCCTTATGTTGTACAAGAACAGCAATGCCTCCTAGGACAAGCATTACCCAATAAAAACATAGAGCAAATCACCCAAATCAATGAGTTGCTAGTGATGAGGAATGAGAAACCCATCATGCTTCTGTTTTAGAGCATGTAGGCATGCAGAAATTATCCTAATTTAGCTAAGCCCATTACTAAAGCAATTTACTAAAATCAGAAACACTTGTTAAATCAGTTTAATCTGATTTGTGAATTTGTTTTTTTTTTTTCTATACCATGCTAAAATTATAACTTCAGTGCAAAAGCAGAAGCTGTATCTTCTGCTGGAAATGATTAGAAGCAGATTTAGTTAAACTGGTGCAGATTCTATATCCACAAACACCTTGGCACCAGGCACTTTCCCTGCTGCCTCGTAAGATGAAACAATTTGTTCGATGCTGCTATTGCCATTAGCCCTTGGAGGTTGAACAGGCAGAGGAGAATCTCCCTCTGGGAGGCAGTGGAGAAAAGGGAAGCAAAACCAAAGGGGATCCTTTCTGAAATTTTGCCGTACCATGTACAAAATGGCTAACAGTGAGGACAGGATAACACATCTACCTTAATATGTATTTTTCATTTTTCTACAAATGGTTTTGAGAAAACAGCTGCCCATAATCGTAGCAGAAGCCTGGGTGTATGTAACAAACTACCTGTGGCTCCAAATGAAACCCACATTTTTTGTAGGCACACCAAAACTTCCTGGTTATATTCTACCTCCACAACTGGTTGAACAATACCTTAACAACTGTTCTTAGAGCAAATTTGATTTTGAATCCAAGCTTCAAAACTCAGCCTCATTCTCTGCCTCAGTGTAACACTGTGAAAGTTCACTGCTTTCTGTATGCTGAGTTAAAATTGTTCCTCTCTCTCTGTACAACAGGTTAGGAGACACTGGCCACATGAACTCAAAATCCAAAAACCTAGGGAAGTCTAAATAAGGTAGGACTTGATCTTAGGAAAACACTAGTCTGAGTGGAGGAGAGGAATCCTCACATGATGCTTCTACCTTGCTCTTCTAATTCCATGCTGGTCTGAATGTGCAAGACATTTTAATTCAAAGGGCTATCTTTGCTCACAGTACAGCTTTATTCCTGTGCCTGGCATAAGACACTTCTGTGCTTCTTCCCTCTGCCTATCCTACTGGCTTGAACCACATTCCACCTGCATAAAAAGAATCTCCATCAGTATGTACTCCAAATGCACTCCCAAATTTGGGTCTTCCAAACAACAGCTCTGCCCTTAGCAGTTTTGGGAAAAAGCTGACTGTTCCAAAGGTACAGAATTTGCATTCCCCATCTGCAAGATAAATTCAAAACTACAAAATTGAAAAAAAAAGGTGAATATTTTTTCTGACAATATTTATTTGAAAACAAGAGTGAATTTTCACTTAACTCCAATCACGCTTCTTCAGCGTTCACTCTGCATAAATACTTGAGTACTTGAATTTCACAAGTTTTTAAATATTTAAAGGAAGTGACTTTGGAGCTTGACAAATATTCACTGAAAGCTTCTGGGTATTGAACTGTCAATCTCCATGCATTATTGGTTACAGATGCCACCTAACTACAATGGGATTTAGTTTTCATGGATATTCACAGCATAAACTTTCCAAACAATTTGAAAACTGCAGTTTATTGCAAGAAGAAATCTCCCCATCACCTTAAATCCTTAGGACATCTGAAAAAATTCCAGTCTGCTCCCAGATGCATTTCTAACAGAATAAAATTGATGAAATGCAGTGAATACACAATTCCTTGCACATTACTGATTTAGTACTATTTGGATGTAAACTCTTGCAGAGTCACTGTGCAAGTTTCCACCCTCATAAAAGCAAGAGCAAAGCCTATGCTTACTGTTGATACAAATCCACAAAGTCTCCTGTTTATAGTTGGATGTGGCTTCTCTTTTGTAAAAGGAATTTCATATGTTGAGACTCTTTGTACATATTTATAATGACTTTATTAAAAAAAAGAAAAACTACTGTTAAATGGCAAAAAAGGCTCCGGCTTTTATTTTCCACTCTAAAATTTGACAGAATAATTTCCTTTCACAACCCTGTCTTCCCATGGAAATCAACAGAAGTTTCTCATCAGTTGTCACCCCTGTACATCTTAACGTCATATGTCATGTTTTAGGAGGGTAGAATTATCCTGCCCGACAAAACCATCACCGTAACTTAGCTGAGGAGGGAGAGTTTGGCAGACTGCTGACCCCACAGAGCTGTCATTTCCACAGTGTCCAGGCCCCAAAATAGGGACAGAAGGATGTTGTTTTAATTTAACAGCTACATAATAGTGGCTTATAGTGAATTCTTCAATTTTGTGGGACTTAGATTTGATCTTTGTTGAACTTCCACCAGAATAAATATCCACAGCATAAAGTTTCACCTTACATTTAACACTAATTAATCTTAATAGAGAGGTGGAGTTCTTGATGGTCCACAGAGTCTCAGGCACTCATGCCCTCTCAGATACAGGCTCTTCCCAGACTGAAGGCCTCACATACAGATCACAGTGCTCCATTTTGTCACTGATACAGCGCACTAAATAGCAACAGAAGCCTTCTGTCTGAAAGGTTAGCCAAACAGCAGCTTTCCTGAGTTTCTGTTGTATTAAGAAAATGGGGCCCTGCAATGAGTTACATGCACACAGGTGTCAGATACCACTGAAACAAGTCACCAGAGGAGCCAGCCATCTGTATGGGAACCAGAATGCTGCTTTATGATAGAGGGGAAAGCAAAAATCAAGAATCTCTGAGATGAAGAAAATGAAAAGCAGTAGAAGTTCTTCAAAAAATTGTGGTGCCAGTGCAGGGATTCTTACATGGGTACCACAAGCATGCAAGGTACAGGGCAATTCTTCCCCTGTGTATTAGTATCATGTCTTACCACAAGATCTTTTCCGAGTCCTTGGGCTGTAGCAAAGGGTTTGAAGTATGTGACAGTCCTCTCTTACTCAGATTGCTGACTGGGAAAAAGTGGCCAATAAAGAAAAAATATAAAAAAAGAGAAGGACTATAAGAATGGCAAAACATATTCCCCATGTGTTCTTGTTGATTACCTTCCTTCTTTATCACTAAACTAAAATAAATAAATAAATAATGTTGAACCAGTGCTACAAATGCTACTTGTAGTTTTAGGCTCATACTGACCTTTTCATACTCTCTCCAAATACATTTTCCAGGAGCATTTAGAAAAACATCAGAATTAGAGGTAGCTTTTCAAACATTTCAAAAGCAGACACTACCAACCTTTTAATTAATTGGCATAGCACTGAGAACTGAAGCCGAAGACTTTCATATTAAATTAGTCTGCTGGCAGACACAGGAATTTTCCCTTTTCCCGGTGAATATACCAGACTATCATGCAGAACAACATTTTTATGCCCACTGAAAACCTCACTTTCTTCCTTCCCGAACTCTCTTTCTCCATCCCAGAATGTCTATTACCACTGGAGACAGCCACTGGATTCCTTGGCTCAGTTCTCCACTGTCATGGGATCCATTTGACAAGAATCAAATTGCTTTGTTATGAAAAGTAAAGCTATTCCTTCTCTATTTCCCTGTATCTCTCAGACCAGATTTGGACTATCTTCCCCGCTCAGGCTCTGCCTCTCATCATTTCTCCTCTAGCCATACTTAACTATTATTTCCAAAGAAATGTTGAGCCTTAATCCTGTTACCATTAGCTCCTGTTTGCTTTAATTCTTCTCCCTGTGGAGTTTCACGGCAGGAGGGGAAGGCAGTCGGTATGCACACACAGGCTCATTTCCCCCAGGTACAGTTCTTCCTGATTATCCACTCAAGTGGGATTGTAACCTTACGGCCATTTCCATAGCAATGAGCACTGGAAGATGCCACAGTTGCCTAATGAGGCACTTTCTCTGGGCATGCAGCAAAAAGCAGAGGTTGTTTAGTGATGGAGAAAGCTCCAGCAAAGGAACAGCAACTCAATTTGCATGCAAGTGCTCCTGCAGCACCCTCAGTAGAGATGGAAATTGCAGCAATCTCTTCTTTCTCAGCTACCAAGTATGTTAATTCTCCTGTTAACAATACAAGGCATCTCCTCAAAGAGCTTTTTCTGAAGAGGAGGTGTTACAATCAAGTCTCCACCTCACAGGTGGATTATCCAGCTTGTGTATAAACCAGGCTGGCTCCTGAAGCAATGCAGCTGCTTCTGTATAATTCTGCCCTCCAGCTACTAAGTCTCACTAAATCCTGTCTCTCCAGGGGGCCCTGTATCCTGGTGCCCCAGCCTTTCTGGTAGCAACAGCGCTATGTGGCCTCAGTGCTGCATGAGTACACTTCTGGTTTTGGACCCACACAGGTTCTGGATGCTGAGGGGTGCTGGATTTTAAAGCCAGTAAGCCTTGCCCCAAGTGGCTATACTGAGATACTTTAAGTTGTGAGATGGTCTTGCTTAGGACCTTAACTTCTCACATAGTCCAATCAACCAACTTTAATCTCTCCTTGCCTCCCACGGTTCTCCCCAGATGCTAGGAAATCAGAAAGTCTGATCATGAAAATTAAAGAGGAAAAACACTCCCAAGAAAAGCAAGTGTCAATTCCAGCGTCACTAGCATGGTCTTTTCATGAAGGTGACAACACACAATTTGTGGAATTAATATAAAAACAGGGCTGTTGAGAAATTACATTTCTCCAACCCCCAAATAATCTTTGGGCATGCAATTCTGAAGTGGTATTTTGGAAGAGTTCTGAACAGGTAATGTAGCAGCAACTGTGTAATTCTATGAAGCTACAGATACAGGGAAGTTAGAGACATTTAATGTGAAAAATCTCACCCATGGTTTGAGCCAGAGAACAACAGCCTTTTTCTAGTACACCAGGTTATACACGTGCAGTGGTGAATTGACAGTACACTCTCCTTATACATGCAGTATTTACATACACTAAAAGGACAGAAAAAAAGGAAACACACCAAGCAGTTTATAACCGTGTAAGTTCAGGAAAAAACCCTGGCTGTAGCTTAGCCATGGAGGTTGCCACAACACAAAACACATCTCACTTGCCTTTGAGGGTAAAACTTCTGGCTAGTAACAATTGTTGTTCATTGGTTCTTGGAGAAACAGAGCTGGAAGAAACACTAGGCAATAAAACAGGGGCATAGGATCAGCAGATTTCTGTCTCTTCCTTCTCTCCACGTGTCAGTCCATTTATTGGTATGTGTTGGTTTTAATACACCTGGAAATGAGCAGAGGTGGTGCCATCTTTCCAGCAACGCAGGGTTTCTACTGTGACAGAACGACAAAGCGGACAGGTCTTCTCCCTGTCAAACCAGAGGCAGAGGCATTCTTCACAAAACACATGCTGTGGAGACAAAAGGGCAACATCATGATGCAGGCAGGAGGTCCAGTCTTGTCACTAAGCAGCATGCACACTCCACAGCACAGCCGTGGGACCACGGAACCATTCAGGTTCACATGGACAGTGCAGCCAACTAGCAATACTCAAGTGATATGAAAAATAAAGCCCAGCATTATTAATACATCAGTTTGCCAAAGCTAATGAGATATTACTCTGTTTCTTAGTATATCAATAGAAAGAAACACTAAAAAAAAGCCTCGAATATTTGGGCTAATGAAGTAACTGAGAGCAGAAACAGGTTTTCTTTCTAACTTTTCTTTACCCTGTTTCAACCCGCAGATCCCTGGGTTATTTTACAAGTCAAACAACTTATGGCATTTGTTTCTGCTCATGTCACCCAGTCCCAGTCGGTAGCTTCCATAGTCCCAATTTCCCCTTCTCTATAAGAGTCAGTTTTTGCCCCTCATCTTCTCCCATTTCCATCCTGAGCCACGACAGGATTCTCCCTCCAGCCTACCATGGATTTGAAACAGAGATAAGGAGGGATTGCTGTCCAGGACACAACCTCAGCTAGACCCAGACTGGAAGAGCAGGAAGGGGGAAGGGATTTCTAGAAGCAGTAAGAAGCTCAGACCTCCTCAACACATGTGGAGTCAGCAGAAATATTGCTCATCAAAATCTCAGCTCTGACAAGCACATGCAAAAGTGGCTTCCTCTGGGGCTTACAGCTTGATAACATCTGCACAGATGTTCACAGGAATAGTAAGAGGCATGCTTGATGCATAGGTGACCTACTTGATTGATTCTGAACTCCCTCTTGCAAAGGATGAGAATGCTAGAGCTCTTCAAACAAGGGCTCTAAAGTTTTATTTTGACATCACAAGAGAGCAGGTGACTCCATCAAGGTTTTCCCGCACATACCCACACCTCACCTGGAGACGATCTGCAGGATGCAGAATTTCAACCCCAACAGGCGAGAGAAAACCTTGGGGAAGCACCAGCGATCTCACCACTAGGTAATGCCTTCAGCTGGCCTCTGACAGATGACCAAAACACGTCAGCGTGGTGTGTTCACAGTGTTTTAACAACACCGGGTTAGGACTGCTGCATTACTCAGAGCATGACATTCTTAAGCTTTAGGTTTTTCCAGTGTTTACCAAATGAGAACAATTCCCACGTACTGGCAGGGGTGACCAACTTCTATAGGCAAAACTACTTGTATTCCTGGCCAGGTGTTCAGACACCACAGTTACACAGTGCTGCACCAGTATTAATGCTCCCTATCAGGCTCATTCTGGATCTGTTCCCCTCTCAGAGCTCTTGCTCATAATTCAGCTGGCCTATTGACTAGCCAGTCTCCCCAAGGGTCAGATAAAAATGTCTTGCATTCCAGAGCCAAGGTCTGGACTGCCAACTGGCAGTCCCTGGACTACAAGGCTGATCTTTTCCATCTCAACTGCTATAATCAGACCCTACAGAGTGGAGTTCATATGGCTCAGCTCTCATGAATCACTGGCTATCTGGAAGAGGGCGATAAATATCCACTAGGGCCTAGACCAAGACCCAGCAAGAGCTTTTAGAATTACCTAGGCTAACTGTGCCTAGAAATGCCAACAGGGGAACCTGACGGGGGAAGCTTGGGGTCTTACCTGGCACATAAGGATCAAAGGTTCCCTGAACTCTGCTTGGCAAATGGCACAGATGTCACCTGCCTCACTGCACTGCTGGCTGGTGGCACGAACTCCATAGGTCTGTTAGGAAGAAGGGGAAAAAAAGCCATTGTCAAGAGGTTTGAAGATAACCTGGTTTGTGTCTGAGAATACACACAGATCATGTTTTTCATACACAGATATGTATGTGTATGTACAGAGAAGGGAGATTTAGGGATCAGCATGCAGAACACAGGGAAACTGCAGTTGTGTGTGTTCTCTGTCTTGTTACCCCCTCGAGCTGACTCCATCTTTTAGTGTTTCCACTTACGGAGCAATGATAATGAAATTTAATGAGCTCAACAGGGAGCTGAAAGGATTAATTCAGCATCATTTGCAGAGGTGTTTAGATAGTGGGAGGTATTATTATTAGCAAGTTAGACAATAGAAGAAAGAATAACAGCAGCAGCACCCACACGCTTCCCTCTTTTCTTCTTAAATACTGTAAAGTAAATGTTGCTTCTCCTACTGTAACAATAATAGGGGAAATGGAAACATGCTGAGGAAGAATGACCAGCCCAAACCCCCAGAATAAGCAAGGCAAACTCTAACAGACTCGTATGATGTTATGTTCTCTTCCTATACAGTCTGTGGTTTTACCATTGTAAAATACAAATCACAGTGTTTCACTGCAACAGATCTGAATGTCAGTGCCAGGCAATGTAGCATCTCTTTTAATGGCACTGCACATCAGGCATTATGTACATTTATTTAAAATCCTTCTCACACTCTGCAGCTCAAAGTTTTGCCAGTGCATGTGGCTTTCATGTCAACGTATTAATCCATATTACACAAGGCTTCCAATCAGACTAGGAAGGCCAGACTTGCAACAACCTATTTACCATAGCTAGGACAGGGCAGATATCAGAAAAAGTTCCTAACACCCCTGACAGGAGATACCAGCTTATCGAGCCATGGGACAAGAAGTTATTTTATGCTATGATCCTGATACGCTGAACAATTTTCAACTCCATCATTCATTAGTAACGTGGTTTCACCTAGGAAACTGTTCTGTGAAACCTATGGCTACTTACCTGTGGGGTGCAAAGGACTTTCAGTGCCTTCCGGACACTTCCCACACGACCACAGATGTCAAAAGACTGCAATAAAGACGTTAAATTTTAGATATTTTTCACAAAACACGTGTATGTGTGCATACAGTTCAGAAACTCAGGACACACGTGGCAGAGTTTCTGCAAATGGATTCTCAGTGGGAACAAAGATCCTCAATAACAATGGTGCCAAAAATATTTCATGGTGATTGTGAAATATATAGTAAAGGTGAATCGATGGTGCAGCAAGGTAGCCAACAAAAAACCTCTGGCAAAAACGGGTTGCAAATCAGTAACTTTAAAGTACAAAAAAGAGATTATGGGGTAGTGGTGGGGTAAATTGCCCACCCTCCCTAGGTATGAAAGGGCTAAAATGGACCCATTCCCACCCTGAGTCCCTGAGAAGTCCAGAAATAAGGCTAGAGGACATTGTGGTTATCCTGAGAGTGAGGGAAGGAGAGGCTACCTCTTTACATGGAAGAAGTAAGAAATTGCTTTCCACAGCCTCTGGGGAGAAGGAGGATTTCCAGGGCTGTGAGGCTCTGCCACACACTTTGATACTTCAGGGCCCAGATGATATTAAGAGAGAAGGAGTGGGAATTGCCCGTCCTGCTGCAGGGACAGATTTAGTGATTAAATACTACCAAGAGAAGAAAAGCCTGAGGAATGTGAAGCAGGAAGGAGGCTGGCTTGCTCCCATCTGCCTAAAGAGTGAGGAACTTTAAATGCCTGGAAGGGAACGAGTTACCAGCACCTTGGTGCTTGCACACAGCCAAAGATGGGGACAGCACCAGGTCCTTCTCCTTCCCCCTCCCTCCACTGCCCAGCAAACATGATGTAACTGCATCTGGAGAGCAGTGCTCCTCATTACAGACTAAAAGCAGTTCAGAGAAGGGCAGAAAATGAGCCTGCAGAAAATGATTTCTGAAAAGAGACTGAAATACATAAATATTTACAGCTTGGCGAAGCAATACCAAAGCGTGGGGAAAAGATGATAAACTTCCTCCAAATATCTGGGGGCTCAGCAAGAGAGCAGACACGCAGCATCCTTAAAGTGAGGACAGAGTAATACTACTAAAAGGGAAAACGGCTTGGAAACCTAATCCAATTTGCCATCTTCCCTGTCTGCTGGCAGGATGCAGAGAGAAAGATACTATGAACTAGACAAGATAGAAAGAAATGATTGGGCAAAGAACAGCCCTGCATTAGTTGGGAAAAGGGCCAGATGACATAACGGGACCTTTCCATTTCTAACCTGAGTGAGGAGCAGCCTGGAGGGCAGGGGAAGACGCGGTGCAGAATACACAGAGTTGTAGTGGACTTACAGTACAGAGGCACCAAAATGCCTGGGGTTGGCTTTCTATTTTTTTTTCTAGCATGATTAAGTGGGCTCACTGCAGGGAATGCCAATGAGATCATCGTGCAATAGACGTGGAATCAAATGAAGGCACCAATAATGCTTCCAGTCAGCATGTAAAAGGCTCCCAGGGTCCTTCCAGTAATGCTTCCAGTCAGCAACTAGCACTTGAGGCTGCCGACTGCTACAGACTTTTTATCTTCTAACACGGGCAGGGATCAGCTCTCTCCCACAGTACAGTTCACAGCTTTTTCTGGTTGCTTTGCTTATAACAGGACTTTTAACACCTTTCCCCTGGTTCTGATATCTCTGATTCTCCCAGCCCATTCCCCCCCTTCAACTTTATTTCCCCTGGACTTTCCTGTACCCCCCTAAATGCACGTTTCACTAGTTCCTTTAACATCCCTTTATCTCCCCATGCACTGAAGACTACATTGCATCAGTTGTCTTTCTAGCAATAGGACTGCAACAGCTGGGTTCAGTGCCTGCTCTCTTGTCAATGGAAGAGCTACTGTAGAATTAATTGCCATCACCCCCCTTCTAACTATGCTGAAGAGCATGTGTCTGAGGTAGGGTTCAACTCACAGCCTGAACAAAGCAAACACCTACTGTTACCCCACTCAGTCATTTTCTCCCCATCATTACCACTCCTATCCTCAGTCAAAGGCTTCTGTCCAGGACAGGGAAGTATAAGACCTGGATGCCCCTACTTACGAACATCTGGGATTTCTTTGCCGAAATCAGAATTTCACGCCAGAGACACCAAGACAGCTCCCACCAGCTGCACTATACGCAATCTTCGGAAAGCCAAGTCTGCTCTTTGTGTGGGGAGAGGGGACGCAGCCCTAGCTAAGCCCTGGATGTTTGCCAGAAGCACAGAAGGTCTAAGTGCCAAATTGGCTTCTGTGGTTTTTCTAATGTGGTTTGTGGCTTTGCTAATGTGGACTCCTTTGGGTATATTTTCTATGTCTCAGGCAAGGAATTAGACCTGCAGCTCTTGTGATAGTAGATGGGGTGCTCATACCTAGTATTTCATGACCTGCTTTGGAAGAGTGAGCTCCCGTTACTCCTGCTTTTCTCTCTCTCACTTCCAAGCAAAGTCTCCAACAGGGACAGGTCTAACCCTAACCCAAACACAGCTGTGCTGCCAAGTTACTGCTACACACCAGCATAGGACAGTAATATTCCTAGACAATATAGAAAGCACCAAACCAATCCATACAGGACTGCTTGTACCTGTGCATAAGGGTCCTGAGTGCATTAATATGCCTTCATGGTTCTGATGAACTTCACCTGGGGTCTCCACCCCACATACCCTGCCCATGGGCTCAGGAGCTCTATTTAAGCTCAGCTCTGTAACTTCAGTTTCTCTTTAAGCTGTGCTATAGGAATGTTAATTTCCAGTTTAGCTGTAAGTGTATTTACCTACAGGTTCTAATTATCTTGGCTTATCAACCCATAGAGTAGCTTCCAACTTTGACCATGGGCTTGTCTCATTACTATGGCTACACGAGGCAGTCATGAGACTATGTCTGACCCTGGTTGCCTTCCTCTGATCATGGCCTGTGGATTAACTTCCTGCTATCTTGTACCTGCTTCACTGCAAACTATTTACCTGAAGGTTTGGGCTCTTCAGCCCTGGCCAGTGAGGCCATTGTCCTGCCACCTGTGTTCTGCTCAGCTCCCTTTCTCCCAGGGAGCAGCTGGCCCTCCACTGCTCCTTAGCACTATGGTGACTTCTCCAGAAGCAACAGACAGCACATAGAACTGCAGGTAAGCATCCCTTCTGCAGGTGTTCCTTCCTTTTCACAAGAAAGAATGACAGAAAGATCACCTGAAGTCTGCCCTTGATTTGTGATCTGCCTGCCTGATCCCCACAAGGCCAGAAGGGCATGCAAGGGTGGGATACTGTTCTCCAGAAGAGATTCAGACAATAATACTTTTGAAAGGGCAAAAATCCTCTCCTGTATCTCAGAACAGGAAACGTGTAGCTAAGAGTCAGGATGATTGTGTGGGGAACCACACTAGTTTCATATGTCTGTTATTCTGGCAGTGCTCTGTTTCTGGCTTGACTTGGCTGTAATGGGTCTGTGACCATCTTGCTTCCCATGACCTCCTCTGCTTATCTTTACAAAAGCTCTAAATTCCTCTTCAGCAGGGTTTATATGCCCCATTTCCGTACATATACAGGCATATCTCAGATAAGAACTGTAGTTTGACTTTACTTGCTTTGGTAACCCATTAGCCTCTTGGAGCTTTTTTCAGCTGAGATATTTTCTCTCAGTTCTTCAGTCCCCCCAGTCCCTTTCTCCTAGGGTGAGACAAGCATCAGAGGTGCAGCAAGCTAGACTCACTTGGCCTTTCTCAGAGCTTTATCAGAGGAATGGATAACAGATCTATCTTTTGCTTCAGCTACTGCTCTGCCTAGGGCAGGAATATTAGTTTCCAGTTCAGCCATAACTAAACAAAAGATAGCAACCCTAGGCAGAGCCGAATACACATAATTAGCAATACAGCTGTTTCTAGAGCTCACATTTGTGACTTGTCTTAGTCAGTCACACCTATTCATTTACAATTTTACAGGCAGACTCTGTTTTTTTTTAAACTCTTGCTTTTGAGCAAATGTCAACGGTATTTGTCACTGAGATCCTGGACTTGTCTCAGCCACAGCAGGACCTAAACTGGGGCCAGAACTACCTGTTTTATCTAGGCAGGACTTGGAAGTCCCTTACTCTGCCTGCTGCACTCAGTACTGTGAATGACAGAGTACCTATTCTGCCTCAAAAGATAGAGACTTAGAAACATATAACTGTTGCAACCCTCCTTTTAGTGCTGACTCTAGAAGTCTGGAGATAGCTAACCTCTCTTCTGATACTGGTCCCCCAAGGCTCCACTCCCATTCTCTTCTAGCCTTTATAGAAAGGGATTAGAAAACAGCAATGACTTCATCAGCCTGATGCAACACTGCATGAGCAATCACACATCTTTCTCTAGCTCACCAATGCCCACATAGTGGTAAAGCAAAATATTTTGACAACTGAAGCACAGGGTGTCCTCAGCAGCTGCAGCTTTCCTTCCTAAGTAGTGATGGCAACAATTTAAAGGTGTATTTATTCCCCTCAGCTGTGCTTCTTGCTCTGATCTTGCTACAGATATTAACTGAGGTGGTACTCACCTTGCAGAGGCTATACAGGATGATCAGAATCCCTCCTAGGAAGTAGCTGCTGGATGGGTCATCTCCCATGATGTATTTATACCACAACTGGATGGGGACAAGGGATCGGAACAACTGGCTCAGCTCTTCAATAACCAAATAAAACTTTCCCTTTAAAAAAAGTGATAGATGGTTATTATCAGGAAATCAAAAGAGCATTTAACAGGTGTAGGGCTTGAAGTTTATAGGACTTGTGTTCACTGTCTATCTATGCACTCTGTTAAATGGTGCAAAGACCAGTGTATTCATAAGATGCATTTTTCTTTGCAGCCATTCAGTACCTGGAAAGGATAACCCATATCACTGTTTCTTTGCTGTCACTGTGTTCCTCTTGTTCTTTACCTTATCCAGCCATTGTTTTAAACTTCTGAGTCACAAACTTTTAGAGCAGGTTATGGATACATACCTCTTTGCATATCCGTACAGCGCTGCAGCGTGTTAGCAGTAGAGGTTAAGATTTTCAGGGATTAATATGTAGATACTGTAAATAACGAGGAAGGGAATGCAAATGAGGTCTTTCACATGCTATACATCTTCTGAAGGTACAGGGATTTAAATGTAAGATGACACTGGTATTCCTGACAACATTGTAGATCACCCAAGAAATCAAATTAATTACCTATTTCCCAACGTCCTTCCCCTTCTACTCTGGTGTTGGAGTGTTTACTGTACACAGATAAGGCTGGCTCTGAAAAACCATCAGGGCATTTTAAACTCAGAGATGCCAAACCTTTCTGAGGACCTTATGGAAGAAAAGTGTTTGTGTGAAGCACACTGGTGGGAATGTTTCCTGCAAAAGACTCAAAGATGTGATCACATCCTTTGCGAATCCTTGCCAAAGCTGTTCTTGCCATTCTGGTGTTCACTCCAATTAGAAAGCTTGCTTTCCTTGAAGGCCACCTGCGAGGTAGTAAAATCCCTCCTGACTTACCACAACCATGGGGTACAACTGAAATTTTCCTACAAGAAGGCGCCTAAAACTAGGATCAACAAACTGGCTAAATAAGGCTACCTAATCTAAGGTCAAGGAAGGTATTTGTTCTGCCCCACATGGTTTAAAAGGAGAACAGTGACAGTGGAGTAGGTCAGGGCAAGCTGTGAGTCAGAACTATACTTAAACTGCAATGACATTATCCAGACTGATTTTTTTTTGATATGTCAAAATTCTTTTATTTGATAAGATCAGGGAGAAGGGGAAATTCCCCTGGAATTTTGCTGTGTTGTCCTAGTTAGCTTTGTCATCAGTGATGTCATCACGGGTCAGTTGTTAATTGGTGAGATTTGGAGAGGGGATTAAGTCCTCCCCGGTCCGCGAGGCTAGCGGCAGCCAGCGCCCTTCCCCTGGGTCTCAGAGATGAGATCACTCGGCAGGCCATCCTGCCGTACCGAGCAAATCGAATCCTTCAGAGAGCTCTGGCATTCTCATGATCTCATATCCCCCCCGGGACAAGGAGTGAGGTCACACCAGCAGTTGCTAACGGACCTGGGCTGCTTTCTTCCTCTCCCCCCCAATCCCCTCCTCCTTGCTAATCCCAGGTGGCATCACATAGCAAAAATGTAACAGCACCAATCTGGGGTCCTAAATGCAAGCAATTTATTAAATTAGCACAGAGGGCTCTATCCAGCCTCGTGCTTCAATACAATCATCGTTTATTTCTGGAGCCCTTGTGACAGAGGGTCGCAGTCTGCTAATGACTACGCTGTCACTTCCTTCCCTTCACACAGGCAGCTCTCCACCTCCCCCTCCTCAGCCAGCTCTGATGAAAGCTACCAGCAAGCTAGAGGCAGCAAGCTGCTTGCTTTCTGACTCCTTCCTCCCAACAGGCTCTCACTCAGCTTTTACTTAGCCTCTCTTCCCCAGCAGGCTGGGCTAGGACAGGTCAGTGCTTACTCTCTCATTGCATCAGATGGAACTTCTGGATCCAGCATGCGGGGTGTCTGTGAGCTCCTTCCTCTGAAGCCTGAAATCAGGGCAAATGCTGAAACCTTTCTAACTCAAAGCACTGACACACTGAAACACTGGAGCCCACAGCACAGTGTAAGGAAAGGTGGGTCACAGGCTGCAGAATCAGCAGTGGAAAAGTGGGGGCTCTAAAATGAACATGCAGCAAGTAACAAATTTCAATTCTTTTTAGCCACAAAATTTTCCCACCTTTATGGAGCTTTCCAAATTCCTTTTTGTTATGATGCAAATCTTGTTTTCATTGGTAACTGCAAGATACTGGGATTTCTTAGCAGCTAGATAATTAACACCCTCACAGGAGTGCAGCTAAACCTTTCAGTTGAGGCATCCTTCCATCCAGTCTATTACCACCACCCACTTGACCATTTAGGAGAGGTCTTTTGATAACCTTAGAGTGATTACAGCCAGGAGGAAGGAAGCAATACAAGGACAGCTGAGCATCATTTAAAAGAGAACTAGAGCTCCAGTAAATGCTTACAAAAATAAGGCTTGTCAGGCATGTCAGTGCAACACCAGCCCTTTTTTAAGCTAGGAAAAGTGCCTAGAAAATCAGAAGTAATTCTGCAAAGGGCTGTGCCAGGAATAAATGGGGTCTTCTGAGCCAGAAGCTTAGAAAACAAGGTTGTAACCTACAATTTCATCAGCAGAATTTAGCTTTCTAACAGCAGTAACTCACTGTTAGCAGCACCCATCATTTGTAAATGCACCCTATACTCCTTTCTGTCTTCTGTTCTCCAGCTTTACTGTATCTTGGCTTCCTAGACTGAAGTTTTTCAAGCTAAATACTTGTTTTAACCTGCTTTCAACTGCATTCAAGAGCTTCAGCCTAAAGCATTTCAGCTAGTTCTCATCCACATTTGGAAGAACTTTCATATTAAGCATGACTACAATTATTTCTCCTGTGGACCTCTGATTTGGAACAACTTGAGATAAGTCAAGGGCTGCTTCTGTTGGGTGACTTTTCGTATTTCATAAAAATCAATGCAAACCTAGGCACTCTGCAGAGTGTGATGCATGTCTGATTTGCGTAGGTCCCAGTCCTTGAGCAAGCATTTCATCACACTGGACTACACAGACTAAACAGGGTATTAACTGAAACTATAGTTCTCTGTTGGGTAGAGTCAGATACCAGAACAAGCCTTGGCTTTGGTCTCATTAAGCCATTGCAACAGGTTGGAATTAAGCCGGAGTAAAATGAAAGTACACTGCTGAACCTCTGTAGGGTCAGTTACTGCAAAAGCTGTCAGCTTACTGCTGTCAAACACTTCATTATCACAAGCAGCGAAGGACTGTGCTGTGGATCTAATTATTACCAATGCTGCTGATGAGCCATGTGATGCCACATGGTGAGATTTGTGTTTTTTTTCCAGAATGCTTTGTTTAAAAACTAAGTCAGTGACTTGCGTAACCCTCCTTTTTCATCTACCTTAATCATATTAAAAGACAATTTCCGTACTTTAAATCTAGCACTTATTTTGGAAGAGCAGAATTCAGGATTTTCATATAATCTCAATCTTCCTTCTGTAGATACAGTGTTACAGTCTTTAACAATGTGACCACCATTTTCACAGAAGGTGAGTGGTACTCATTAAGCACGTGACTTTACTGTTTTGCTATACACACATTAGATGATGGCAAATTGCATCTTATCACTTCATGCTATTCAAGCTCTAAGGAGAGCATTACTAAAGATCCCTGAGTCTTTTTTTATGACATTACCACTATAGTACAAGACTTTCAAAAACTTTTTTTTGCATCGTTGGCTGACATAAGGGACAGCTTTATTTGCATTTTCTAAATGAAAACTTGAGACACAGGAAGGGTAAGGTTGGTTTTGGTGTTCAACCTGAGATGTCTGGGATTAGAGTTTTTAATATATTCAATTTAATAGATCACATTACCTTTAAAACCACTGACTTCAGTTTGCAGCTGTACATGGCTTTCCTACAATCACATAGGAATTACTTGGCAAAGAAAAAGATGGAATTTAATTCTCCAGTGTAGCATTCAACTTTAACCTATAGAGTGTTTTTCTTCTTCCAATGGTCTCTTTGTTCTCTACGTGCTTTCCAGTTTCTACACCAGCTTCTTTCAATATACCACCTTGCTCCATCTGTGGGGCACAGTATATCATGTTTGGTGATGGATGAAGAGGTCTTACAGAAAAATAACATAAAATCACGTAATTAAAAAATGAATTGCAACATATGCAACACCAAAAGGGGGCAAATTACAGCTGCAGAAGCAATGCTAATTTCCACAAAGCCTGAGTATTGATGTTGTAGTCTTATTTAACATAAAGCTTTGTAAAAGCATGCATGTGCCTCACAGAAGGAAATGGAGAACGGCATGATAAGGTTTTACACAGCAGAATTAAAATGGGATGTAAGAAGTGAGACAAGTTGCAATGAGGCAACTGTAAGTTGTGATTAGCACTCAAGGGAAGTTCCAAGTCTCACTTGTTCTGCTGCCAGCAGCATTAGGACATATACTGAAACAGGAAGATGCTAGAAAAACTGAGACCTGCTGGCAATTTGGATCAGAGGAGAGCAGGCTCTGCTGAGATTTCAGGTCATACTGCCAATATCAGAAAGTGTTGGGTAGGAGCAATAAACTGCACTGTGGCACAGAGGGTGCTGGTGGAAATCATTGAATCATGGAATAGCTTGGGTTGGAAAAACCTTGAAGTCCATCCAGTTCTGACCTTTCCTGCCAAGGGCAGGAATGTCACCCATTAGGTCAGGTTGCCCAAAGCCCCATCCAGCTTGGCCTTGAACACTTCCAGGAATGGGGCATCCACAGCTTCTCTGGGCAGCCTGTTCCAGTGCCTCACCGCCCTCATAGGAAAGAGTTTCTTCATTATATCTCATCTAAATCTATCCTCTTTCAGTTTAAGGCCATTACTCCTTGTCCTGTCTCAATATCCCCTGACAAAGAGTTCCTCCCCAGCTTTCCTGTAGCCCCTTTTAGGTACTGGAAGGCCACTGTAAGGCCTCCCTGGAACCTCTTCTTTTCCAGGCTGAACAACCCTAGCTCCCTCAGCCTGTTTCTGTAGGAGAGCTGCTCCAGCCCTTTAATCATGCTTGTGGCCTCCTCTGGGCTCTCTTCAACAGGTCCATGTCCTTCTTGTGCTGGGGGCCCTGGACTGAACGCAGGGCTCCAGGTGGGGTCTCACGAGAGCAGAGCAGAAGGGGAGAATCACATCCCTCACCCTGCTGGCCACGCTGCTTTTGGTCCAGCCCAGGATACGGTTGGCTTTCTGGGCTGCAAGCACACAGACCTGGCTCACGTGGAGCTTCTCATCAACCAACACGCCCAGGTCCTTCTCCTCTGGGCTTCTCTCAATCCATTCTCTGCCCAGCCTGGATTTGTGCTTGGGATGACCTGGCCCAGATGTGGCACCTTGCTGAACCTAATAAGGTTGCACAGGCCCACCTCTCGGGCCTGTCCAGGTCCCTCTGGATGGGATCCCTTCCCTCCAGTGTGCTGTCTGCAAACTGAGAAGCAATTTAAAGGTGGGACTAGAGGGACTGTGAGATGTTATAGTTAGTGCAGTGCTTCTGAAAGTCATACCTTAGATCGCTTACACTGGAAAGTTAAAATCTGAAGGCAGTTAAGAGCAGTGTTCCTTTTTTAAAAAAATATTAGTAGCTATGAATTTCAATGCCCGCTAGGGAGAGGGATGGGAAAGAGCCCCAGTTCTTCAGAACTTAGCTGTATGCTTTAGTTAGTTCTTCTTTAATCCCTTACTTTCATCTCCAGGATGCCACACCTGCTGTAGGCTTAAAGAGCGAAAAGCCTCTACAGAACCCTCACACAGTTTCTATGGTCTAGAGGATCAAGGCTCAGATTATTCTACAAGAAAAGTGAATCACTTCTGAGTGAGTTTCCCCCAAAGATCATCCAAGAGGATAGGCCTATCTATTGTCACCTGTCTAGAAACACCAATTTACCTACACTGTTGGAGAAGATTAGGATTAATTAATAAATCTTACTGACATTTTTTGTAATACATCATTTATGTACCAATTCCCAGTGCTCATGTGCCTTGTTTTAATGCTCCCATATTTTTCATTAGCAGCATTTGGAGGCCTCAAATACTCCAAGTGACTTTTTTTTCCACCTCAGGATGAAAACATATACTAATCACCTTCTTGTTAAATGACTGATACATATCCGGTGCTATGATGAAAGAAGGGCTGCCAGGACATTAGGAGAAGGCTGTTGCTATCACCGTTGCAACTAACTCAACCCCCTTCTGGTATCTTCTCTTAATATAAGCCTTCTGGAAGAGGCTGAAGCCTACAGGAATTGCAAGCTGCTCCAGCATGCCCTCCTCCATGAGCCATCATGATGGACCCGTTCTATGCGATGGATTGTTCTACATGAATACTGTGTGCAAGATGAGCTGGTTGCTCAAGGAACATAAAACCTCTGCACGTGCAAGTTGTTTGTCTAACTTACTGTGTGATGAAGGATGGGTCAGTCTGACCAGTGAGAGAGGCAGGGTCCCGTGATTTTGAACTGTGGTATCCTGTGATGCTGAGCTCTGACAGAAGATGGAGGCAGGCTGCAGAAAATTCCTAAACTCTGTAAGGTAGGTGCTCATTCTCCTTACAGTAACTGTCTGTGCACTGAGAAAGAAACATGATAACTGAAGTAACTCATGCTCATGCACCGTTCTAATGTGGAAGAACAATGGGGCTACTTAGAATTAAGCCTTACTAGCTTCAGACTCAGAATGAAGTTACTACAGATCAGCTGCATGGTTATATATTGCTTTAAGATTCTTTAAGATTTAATTCAGTTGAATGATCATATTCTCTTGTTCAGAAGATAATCCGATATTTCTGTCATGTCCAAAATGAAGCTTCAGAAGGAATATGGAAAGCTTAATGTGCTAGTTTCCATGGTAGAGCTGTAAGCATTCCATGCTAGAAAACATGGGGTGCACCTGAAAACAGTATTTAGTCTTAAGTCCAAGTGTAAAGAATGGCTGTCACATACAAATGAAGTACTCCCCAACTGGATTTGCTGAGATAGTACTAAAACCAAAACAAATAAGAGAACAAGCAACTATTCCCATAGATGCAGTGAGCAGTCAATAATGCTAATTTGTACACTTGCTACTGATGCAACTTCACAGCATTTAGAAAAAACTTCATGAGTAATGCCAGTATCACTGCAGACTTCAGAAAAACTAATTTGCAATGTCTAGATCCACTTTTCAAACAAAAACTCTTGAGTATTTATTCAAATAGCAACTTCATGCTACATTTTCAACAAATGATATTTGCCTTACAAATTTTCAACTTTCTAGGAATGGAGCTCTGGGATTCCTTGGTGTTGTAGCTTGGCTGCACACCTGTACTGAGTACGCAAAGAAAATTCTTACTCAGGGCTTTTTTTACGCACCAACCATTAAGATTACTGGAAAAGTGTGTCCTTGGTATGTGCCTTTCTCTCCTGTATATCCAAGGTTCTTACATAGTTCTTTTGGTTTTCCTTCTCTACTCCCTCCCCCATGTCTCACTCCATTCCTCAGGATATCAGCTTAGATTACTGACAGCAGCATGAGGAGGGGATGGGAGACTTACAGGCACCTGGGATTTCCTAAAGGGAAATCTTTGGCAAATGTCTTTTTATTATTTATTTCCTTATTTTTAATTCCACCCCTCTCAAGCTGTCATTTCTTAGCAGTGAAAATGAAAAGCTGCCATTTATGTGTGCACAACAATGGAGGCCTCTGCAGGCCACATGGCTCCTGCAGTTTAATTTACTTTAATTCATTTTATATTGAACCAAATGATCTTATTTGCTGTTTTTGATGGAGAGCCTTCAACATGCAGGGTGGGAGCCAAGCCCCTCTACCAAAGAAATTATGAGCCCAGCTGCTATTAAGACTTGTACCCAGCTTTGAAGGGTATGCTGAAGCTCATGGGGGAGGAAGGGACATCTTTAGCCACAGGCATGCTCCTTCTCCCACAGTCTCCCTCTGACTGCAAAGGTACAAGATCACACTGATTTGGGTTGCCTTCCTTTTTCTGCTGCTTTTCTCCCCCAATGCACAAGCCGCTCTTTCCCTGCCTTCCATCCTGATTGCAGTCTCAGATTCTCTTGGCACCTCTGTTTTTCCAGGCTAGTTTAGAACCTAAGAAACTCTGGGATTTTCTTAAATTTTTGATCTTCCCTCATTCGTTGGTTGGGCTGCCTGCAAAGATATTCCATTTCTGAGCTATTCAAGCTTGGAGAACTATGGGTAGACATAGCAGTCTTCATGCTTCATATTCCAGCACTGAGTATAATTTTGGTTCCTGACAACCATTTTTTGGCCCCAAACGACGTGTACTGCTGCCTGTATTCAGACTGAAAAAGCAAATCAAAGACATTCTACCTTTTAATATTAGCTTGCTTTTTTCTCAGTTACAGCATCAGATCAGGCTTTAGTAAACCTCACTTCCATTGCTGATGGGAAGCCTCTTTGCTTTTTCCTTTTAAATGTGTACTGGATACAAGATGGCTCTTGATGTGATGGGGCCATACTAAAAGTACATGACACCGGTACTTCAGTCTGGGAGAACTGAGTGTGCTAGCCCACGTTTTTCATGTGTTCACTGTCAAAATGAAAAAAGGCATCTGAGCTAAGTGGAGTTCCATGCTACTCACTATTTTCATGAATGACCTTAAGCCTACTCTGTTCCATCATTATTAAATGTGCAGTTCACAGTGAAGTAGGAAACACATTGAGAAGAAGAATTATAATTCAAAAATCATCTTGACAGACTAGAGAAATGGTCTGGAAAACCTGAGGGTGCAATTAAAGAAACACCAAAGACAGCCCAGCAGAGAACAATAATAAAATCAAAGTTCTGGAATGAATGAGTATCTGAGAAAAGACTCATTTGGGTTTGTTTCTTCTACACAGAAGACTGGATATATGAAGGCTTCAATGTTTAAAAGAAAGAATCTGATCTTGCTTCAATCACAATGGATATGGTGAGTTATGAGCTATAAGAGAAGGCCATTCTGAGGTGACGCTTCACACTAGAAAGACTACACAAGCATCAGTGAAAGCCATGTAATAGAGAAGACTAGAATCTCAAGTAGCAGTATGAAAATCCAGACTAGCTTTGGAAGTGCCTTTGAACTTCCCAAACAAGGAATATCTTGGCCTACTCAGAGTTGATCAGAGACCCTGATATCCCAGCCATTGGCAAGTTTTATCATCTACTGCCAGCAAGAAGGTACTGCAAGGAAATTCAAGATTAAATACCCCTAAGCCCTTCACAGCTGTGAAGAACTCTGTCCCTGGCAGAGCACCAGGCTCCTCTTCAGGACCTGTATTATAAGGAGCTAGAGGTTGCTGTTCCAACTAGTTTTATCCACAGGAAAAACAACAACAAAAATATTTCCTGGAAAAAAAAAAACTTATATCTCTACCCTACAAATTAAATTTATTTCTCCAAAAGCTTGTTACCTGCTATGATTAAGCAACAGGCACCCAGAAATTCAAAAGCTACAGACAAGGCTTCAAGCAGAAATGCTACTACAAGTATTTGGGGAGGAAAACAGGAACTTTGGCAAACATTAAGACAGCAGATGGCAAATACCTTGGTAAGAATTTGGTCAAGTTAATGTCTGAAGTGCAACAGAACTGTTTAAACTCAAAAAAAAAAATATATATATATTTTTAAAAAAAACTAATCATCTGAAAAATCGTGTGTAGCATTGTGCTAGCCTGTAGAAGTAAGGTAGGTCATCAGACTCAGGGAAAGAGCTCAGCTACATGGTTACCAATTACAATTTCCATGGCATCCTGGGGTTCTCTTGGAGCTCTCCCATCCTAGTTTGATCTTACTTAATTTGTTACACCAGATCTCATCCCTAGTTGGCTTAATGGATGCATTGTGGAGGGTGGGATAAAAAATAAATCCAGATCCATAGCAGTAGGTAACAACAGTCTCAGATGTCAAGGGACAGTGAGACCATCAACAACATCCTAAGACAAAAAGAGACTTAAAAAAAGTGAGAAATATTGCTATCCAGAAAAAGGTATTAAAAATGAAGCATCTGTGCTCTGAGTCATTATAGGCCCGTGACAGATGTGATCTTACCAGCCTCCCACTGTAGCTGCAAATAAAGACCCCTTCTCTTTCTTCTCTCCCGACAAGGATTAATGAGTACTTGGGATAGCTCTCAGACAAGCAAGCAAAGGCTGTGAACCTTTTCCAATGCTGCAATTTATCTTGGGAAGACTATTCACATCACTTTTTCCTCCCCTCCCCAGGCTGGATTATGCTCTGACCTAGCACATTAATCTCCCAAAATAAAATAATAATAATAGAAGAAAAAAAGCACCTGGACATTCGCCAGAAATAAATTAATAACCATCTCAAATAGCCCTGCTGTGCAGGAACAAACTGCTCAACTCCCCTGCCACCCATGTCATTTGTAAGCAAAACTATTCCCAGTTTAGATATCCCCTTAAGTGCCCTGCCTGAGACTTTCTGCAATTAATGATAGTATCTTGCATCTATACAGTGCCTTTCATCCAAACACTTGCCAGAAAGTTTCTTTATCAAATGCAAGTATACATTGCTACCTTTGCCACTGAAATGGAGACACTACTAAGTGGAAGAAGGGATAGCATGACAGGTCTGTGAAGAGTAAAAAAAAAAAAAATAAATATATATATATATGAAACGGTAACTTGAGAGAAAGTGTAGAGAGAAAGTTTCAAAATTTAGGCGTGGTCTATGTATGATTTTGTATGTATTTAAACATTTTAACTGTTTACTTAAAATAGTTCTTCAATCATCTATTGACAAAGACTGCTTAGAAAACAAGACTTACAACAGCGTCAACCAGCAAAGCAGTTATCTCACTGCTAACACTCGTTCCTTCTCAAATAATGTTTACTTCTCTCTTTCTAGACTTCAATCACTTGCTGGCATTACCAAATCCCTGTTCAGGTCTGCAATTGATCAAAAACCAAAACTTACCCAGGTGACTCTCTCCTAAAGTTTTAGCAGATATTCTCTTATTTTTGTCCTTCCACATGCATTTCTGTCTGTACATGTTGTAAAGGTATCAGATTAACAAAGAAAAACATCCACACATTCAGAAGAGAAGAGGTCCTTACCTTTGACTTGACAGCTAGGATGATCTTAGGCAAGGCAACAATTAGGCATTTCAATGCAATGGTGAGATACTTCAGCACAAAGTCCGTAATCCCCACAATCCACATCAGGTCAAAGAAGTCCAGTCTCTCAAGGTTGGGTTTCAGAAATATAAGGCTAAAAGGCATGACAACAAGGTTCAAATACCAATGAGGATAATGTCGCTTAGGCTTCTTGATACCAGCTCTATCCACTGCTGGCCAAAGAAGGCCTAGAAAATCCACTGAACCTCAGTGAAGTCCTCAAGGGCAACAGGAATAAGACAAGCAAATTAGTCCCACAGTTCCTCTGGGCCTCTTGACTTTGTCTGTTCTTGCCCATTTCTACTGAGTTTTGCTCACTATCAGAAAACAGGACCCAAACACGTACAAAATCTGTTTTTGAGACTGCAGTCTTCAAAACCACAATCTACACCAGAAAAGAGCATCTGGTCTAACCACAGCACCTTCAGTACATAGGCTTGCTCTTTCAGGCCTGAGTGTGAAGGTTCTTCTCTTGAAGTCCCAGTCATCAGTTGTCTTTGAAGAGGAAAGTCATGGACAACTTAAGACCACCATGTCCTTCTCCACCGAGGCTGGCTGACTAGAGCTACTTCAGGGGCAGCAATCTCTAAAGCTACTCGTGCATGTGAAACAAGCGGGTGACAAAGGAAGCATTGTATTAGACAGAACTCTGGCAGAAAGGTCAGAACTTCAGGAGGGTCGTGCTCCAAAAGTGGCTCACTGGCCTGTGTTAGTTAGCAACTCTTACCTGAACCAAATCTCCAGAAAGGTAGCATCCCTTACTTAATGCTATTGACTACGCTGAACGTTTGGCCTTTAAAGAAGGGGAGTCCAGGACAGCACAACTTCATGTAGCAGAAGCTACTGACCTGAGCAGCATGAGGTCTGGGCCCTACTCAGACTGAAAATACAGGATTCCTGTTCAGGATATTTACCTACCAAAGCCTAATGGCAGAAAGCAAAAACTTAAGACATAAAAATGGAAAGGTAAGATAGCCAACCCAGAATGAAAAGCCTGAGCATGAATTTAAAATACTCACAACACTGGCACAGCACAACAGGTAAAATTAAATCCTAAAAACAGAAACAGAATCAGAGACTTTACTACTATTCGTGCACTAGAAACAAGCAAAAAGTAAATAAATTAGGAAATGAAAAACAGATGAGAAAGAAACAAAACCAAAGCAGCTATTTCCACAGGCCTGCCTTGTGCACAGGCAGAGGTGCCCACACAGAGAGCAACAGATCCACTAGCGGGAGCATGGCACTCCATGCACCACTACATCACTTGCAGGAATGGGGCTCTTCAGTGAAGCCATTGCTCAGACTGTTCACAGTTAATAAACTATGCCCTAACCAGTGCGTAGGATGGCCCCAAATTGCTGCAAATCTTTTATTTTAGGAGACCTATCTTTTATTTTAAACTGTGCTTATTCATCCCTTTAACCTTAACCTACTTCCCAAAGCCACTGTTTTCCTGTGGTGTAAATAAATTTCTTAATGCCTTTCTGCCATACCTCTTTCTTCTCTTCCACTCCCTCCCACAAACCACATACATGTACAGATTATCCCACAGCTCACCATCTCTCATTCTAACCCACGCATACAAGACTTTTCATCTCTTCCTTTTCCTGAAAGCATTTACATGCAATGCTTTCCAGTGATCAAACCCAAAATCGTTAGGGACAATTCCAAAAAGTACCAGGGCTGTGGGCCCTTGACTCTTTCACTGCACAGACAGCACTTATGGGAAGAAGCTGAGAAGCAATGAAATAAATGAGAGAAAAAAAATGCTCAAGAGACATCTAGCCACAGCCCAACTGATGTATATTATGCACAGTGTATTTTCCAGTAAATATTTTCAGTCTGAATTTCTAAGTCACCTTCAATTTTAATTGGGAAGATAATCAATATGGTTTTAAAGTAGTTTGGATACTACTAGTTATCAAGTAACTATGTTTGATAATTACTCTGTTTCTTTTTATTTATTCTGCTAAGGTCCCTTTGCTTAAGTATCCTTGCTTCCTTATTTGTCATTTAATCCCTCCTTTACAATGAGCAGGGACAGCACCAAACCATAGCCATGGACACTAACTTTTCTGTACCAGAGAACTGCTTCAGTCAGCATTTTAAAGTGGAGACTATCTTAGTTACACCAGACTCAAATGTCCCCAAGCCTGAGTACAATGAGGTAAAATACTACTACTTTATCTCCAGTAACATACTAAAAGCTGGATAGACTGAAAAGGAAAAACATTATATGAAAAGTCAAAACAGTGGATCAATTTCTCATCTGCTTCCAACACCTGCTCTTTACCTTCAGTCACAGTGGTCAAAATGTGAATTTAGAAGTCCCATTATACAAAACTATCCATCCTGCTTTGATACATGAGAAAGTGGCAAGTGTACATGTTTCAACCAGAAACTGTAGCATATCATCACAGCTGACCCATTCAGACCTGGTTATGTCATTTATTGACAGGAGTACAGTCCACTGGTAAAAGTGACGCACATTCTTTTCCTCCATTGAAAGCTTTTACAAAAATCTAACAAAGACAGCAGACACCTGAAGTCCTTTTTCCTCCCGTGTACAACGTAAATTTTGCTCACCTGTTGTACAGCTGCTGGGAGCTGAATGTGTAAAGCAAGTAGAAGGTGTTTCCGGTGAGAAAGGCCAGGATCCAGAAGACAACCAATACTGATCTTTTCTCCTGAGCAACAAAAAGAAGCAGAGAAGATAAATTCAAAGTCTCAAGGGTTGTACTGAGCCTCTAACTGCTGAAAAATGCACGACCGACCCAGGAGACACAAATATGCAATTAAGCATTCAGTAATTAGTTATTTACACAGGACTAAGACTCACAAATAGGCTGTGAAGTAAAGATTATAAACAAAAGCAGAAATGGCTTTCACTCACCTAACCTTTTCAAATAAAGCAATTTCAGAGAAATTAATGGAAATGCACTGGCGAAGATGATAGCCTTGCTTGCATAGCACAATGCTCAAGGTTGGGATTTTTCTTGGGACAACTAAGTTCTCCTGATATTTTAAATACAGCTTGACAAACAGGTTAAAAAAGTCAGTTCCATATGTTGTATACAATTGTACTACAATTCTGAGCTTTCACCTGTCTGGAATGACACTTTGTGAAATGGGAATTTTACAGATAGATCCACAGTCACTTAGAAGATGGCTTAGCTAAATCATATGTAACATAACCCATCACTATATGCAGCACGTGAATGTTATCTGAATACATGAAGGTTCCATGACATGACATGCATTTTTGATTCAATAAATAATTAAAGGTCAGAAGAAGTGAGAATTTTACATTTCAAAGCACAAGGAATGTTATAGATGGAAGCTGGAAGACAGATGACCTTGTCCTGGGTCTTGGTCCTGTGTAATTTTGAAGAGTAAATTTTACTCTTGGGAGGAAAAAAAAAAAAAGCTTTTTTTTTTTTTGCAGGCTGATTTATTAAGAATATAGCTCTTTGTAGCTATTCAACAGCCAGGGATGTTAGGTTGAGATTTAAAGCAGAGGATTAATGGGCATGCTGCTAGAAAGACAGAGGTGAAAAGTGAAAGCCAACAGCAATCTATTACACAATTGTGCAGTTCATCTGTTCATTTAGCATTGTATCACATTTATTTTACTGCTGCTGGTACATGTACTTATATGCTCGTGCCACCCATGTCATTTTGTCAAAAAAGCAATTCTTGTTTTATGCTTTTAGTGCTGTTGAAGTATCCTGCTGACACTGAAGAGGATCACGATAGATCAGAGGATCTGGTTTCTTCACATTCTAAACATATCATAAGAATTTAAAAGACATTAACAAGTAACACATTTACAAACTCCTTTAGCTGAACATCTAAATGCTAATAAATTAAATATCATTATTAACTAGTGAAATTGGTTTCAGCACCTCTGCTATACGCATTGGGAAACTGAGGCATAGGGAAGCTGCCAGTGCAATGCCAGAGGCAGATTACAATCTTCCCAACTTTTTCTCCCTTGCATTTATTATAACATATTTTCACAAAAGTGCAGAATGGAAACTGTGGGAGAGCATCAGTGGGGAGAACGAGGCAGAGGAAGTGAGGATTTTGTCGCAGTACTCTTGTTCTGACAGATCTGTATACATACAATGGTGTTCAACCCTAGATTGCAAAAGAATTTTCAGGAAAAACATTATTTTGTATACGAAGAGCAACATCGCTTGGAAGTAAAAGAGAGTAAGATGCTGTACTCACCTTCAGAGCAACCTGTTCTCGGAGTGTTGAGTTGGCATATGCGAACGTGCTGGCCATACCAATGCACACAGCAATCCCTGCAGGAAAAGACACTGTCAGAGTACAAAAGGCCAGGTAGGAGGATCTTCAGTCCTAAGTTATTGGGTAAGAGCATCTTGAGCTTTGAATAATATTACTGGGTGATATTCTGGATGCACTAGGAATTAAAAATAAATAAATGACTAAAACTGGTAGACTGGACTCAAAATTCAAATAACAAGCTAAACTGAAATGAAGCTGCTGCAGTGAGCACTCACCCAGCCAAATACAGAAACTCTGTCCTAACAGCAGGTTCTGTGCTGAAAAAGAACAGAAGTGCTGCAAGCTGTGGCTGCACTGTGCAAACAGAAGTCAACTAGAAGACAGTATTACAGCAGCAGTTCAGCATATCCTAGATGACAGGGCACACTATCAAAACCATATCAGGATATCAGATTTAAAGAGCAAGATGTTGCAGAAATGAATCAATTCCTCTTTTGGGGAATACCAGCAGCTATAACCAGTGTAAACTTAGGCATTATTGGCTTCCCTGTGACAATAATCTCAGCATACTACTCCCCAAATGAGTAAGGATCCTCAGACATGCCACACATAAAACTTCACAGTAAGAGAAGGATTAGATGAGTGGATTTTACTTGACCTCTGAGGGTCTGAAAGTCCCATGAAAGAATCTGGGATAGACATACACTTTAAGGAACACTGAAGATCTCAACTGTAAGATGTAACAGCTGATGCTGTTTGGCTTGTTCTCACAACTACCCTTGTTCCAGCTGTACAAGTGTCTCATCCCCCTGGGACCTTCTGTGCTACACAGAAGCCTTTGCTAGTCACTAATGTAAGTTCTCTGTCTCTCAGAGAGAGACATCTGAGTGGGAAGCCTTGGTAACATCCTCAGCCCCTAAAGGAATGTCATGGAGAGATTAGGAAAAGGTACAGAAATGATCTCCTACTTGTCAGAATAGGAAACAGATGGGACTAACACAGATGAAAACAGCTTGCATTGAAAGTCAGCCGAAAGGATGTGGAGCTGGTTATCCCATGCATTTTAGTATGCCCCCTTCATGCTAGAACACCTCCAGCTCTAGATGCTGTCACAGAGGTATATGCATCAGGCATCACAGCATGATAAAGCTTCCTAACCACCCTTTAATACATTTACAATCCGAAAAGGATAAGTGCTTACCAAGCTTATGCTGGAAACAAACTTTAGCCGTGAGGATCAAGATGAAGGGAAGTCCCTTCTGCAGCCAACCGATCACAGCTTTTAACTCTGAAAGAGCTGGGGCTGGAGTCCCGGCCTGTTCATCACTGCCTTCCTCGGCATGCCCGTGGCGGTCCCCACCAGCCATGTGCAGCAGGGACGAACCCCGGTGATGGCCATGGTGGAAATGATGGGACTGTTGCCGGTGGTGAAACGGGGCTCCTTCCGTACGACTGCTTCCTTCCTCCCTCGGGGTTGGCATCTGAATGAATACTTCCCCACCTCCCGCTGAAGAGCCCAGAACCAAACCTGACTGGAATGGCGTGGCTGTGATGGTACCCGACGGGATACCTGCCAGGCCCGAGAACAGCTGTTGTGGAGAGGAAGTTTCAGCCTTGAGACTTTCAAAAACTCCACTTTCATCCACGCTTGTTTCAGAACTGACTGTTTGGCTCCGGTTTCTGCAGTGGAAGGAGATTAAAGAAAAGTGATTAAATGAATGCCACAGAACTTCTTGGTCTTTTAGACCACTCCCGACTGTATCATTTAAGAGTTCTTCATGCACTGCCAGAATATGTAGGTCTCCAGATAACAGATGCTTTTCACTCTGTTTGCTGTTGGAAAGTCACAGCTGCAGAAATGGAGACCAGTAACCAGACTCCTGAAATAAGATCAGAGTATTTCTAAAGCACTGATCAAGATGCACCAGTTCCTTCATCTGAGGATCAGAGTTCCCAAACGCTCCCTTTACTTTTGGAGGAGACATACATATAACACATCTAGCATTAAATTCAACATCTTCAATAATGATTTCAATATTTCAAGAAAAACATAGATAAAAACATGTAAATTTAAACAGTGCAACCAAGCCAGGACACATTATATACATACAAATTAATCAGACTACCTTAGGGAAATGATCTACCCCCAAGATCTTCTATTTAGAGATGATCAATACTTGCCCAGTGATGAATAACACAAATGAGAGAGTCATCTGGGGAAGAGAAGTGTTGCAAGCTGCCTGTGTGTCCCTGTTCCAACAAATATTAATAAGGATGTGTTCATGGATCACAGAGAAATTGTTTTATTTTGATATTCTCAGCAAAATGGGCATGGAGGTACTCAGTTTACTGGGCACTGGGCAGAATTAGGTCTGGCACTGATTCTTTACTAAGCTTGTTGGATAAATTACAGCCAGATTCCAACAGAAAGTCTTAAATATCTTCATCCTAATACCAGAAGAATATATGCTTTCTTCACTTGAACTCAACCCTGTGGTACTGAAATGAACACGTGGAAAGTCTGGATGAAAGGCAACAATATATGTAACAGGTAGAAACAACCATTAGGGAGTAAATGCCTGGCAGACATAAAATACCTCTCTAACTTGCAAAAGAAGAGTAAAGAATAAATAATGTGCAGTGAGAGTCATAGCCCGCAAATAGGGCATGCTGCAGAGCTCCAGTCTCTCTTGGTTTTAAGCCTTGGAGATGTCTAACTTTAGAAACAGTGGTCACAAGCTGAGACAGCACATGCAGGCACATACAGGGCCCTTAACCCACCCTCTCCCGTGGGCTCAAAAACCTCCCCAGGCATCTTACAGGGCACAGAGCACTGCCTTTCATCTGACTCTGGAGATAGCTTCAAACCTCTCTAGAGAGACCTTCCCACTAGGTAAACTCCTAATAAGGCTTTTTATAGCTACACCCCATTCCCAACGTCTCTCCACAGGCTCCAGCAAGGAATCAAGTCAACAAGATTTGGCACACCTTTCTTTGGTTCAAAATATTCATCAACAGATTTTGAATTTTACACCTAACATTACAACTCAGGGATGTATACACAAGACAGGGACATAATGTGACAGATCTGTACTTACGTCTGGGAACATAACAAACACATTGGGTGGAACTGAGTGTTACAGACAAATACAAAAGTATTGTTTGCAACAATACTACCAGGATACACGACTATGCTTTCAGCAGGAAGGAATTAATCAGGCACATATTTAAAAATAAATATACACAGATGAAATTCTGAGTCTGATGAAGTCAACCAAAGTGAAGACCACAATGTCAGTGGCGAAAGAATTTCATTGCACAGTTAGAAAACCTTCAGTTGATGTTACTGACATGTATCTACTCTGCTAAGAAAAATAAGTATTTAAAAAGACCAGTTGATATTACCCTGTGCATCTTTTGCACTTAATAACAGATACCTACCCTGAATATTTTTAACTCTTCAAATAGATACCAAAGTGTCTTACAAGTTTGTAGTCTCAAGAAGCTCTACATTGCATATGACAGGTGCACAATGCATTTTATGTGCTTCTCAGGGCCCAGACTTGCCTGCTGATAAAAACCCATAGACTGCACTGAGGCTTGGGTGGCATCACACAGAACAAGTTGAAGATGCTTTTCTTTTGCCCTCAAATTAAGAATGGATCTGTGGTAAAAGTGGTCACGACATCAAGCTTCCCCTCTACCTGCAAAACCACTAAGAAATATTAAGTGACTGCTTATGATCCAGATCTTTCACTTATAATATCAGCTGAGCCAGAGCAATGAAATTTGTTAGTTCCATCTTTGTCTTAGTAATTAGATTAGTTTCTTCTTTAGAAGAAAAAAAAAATAGAAAGAAAAAAAGTCAAGCACTAACTCTGGGAAAGCACAAGGGAGTGTTTAGTACCAGAACAACAAGAGTGGCAAGCCTCCCTTGCTGATGTTATAATTACAGAAATGAATTAGCAGTATTCTACTTCTAACTATTCACACACATCAACCTAGATACAGATTCTAGGATGTCATAAAGAATCATCCTAAATCTCTAGAAAATACTGTTTAACAGAAGTATATACAGGCTCTGTTCGTACTGATTGACCCTTTCAGACTGATAGCACTCAGTATCCCCGCAGGACTGTGCCATGGATTGCTCTTCGAGAGCTCTTAGAGCTCTAAAACATCCTGCCTTTACTAAGCCGGCTGTCTCCATATGTGCCATACTGGATCATCAAACCTGTAACACTGTTGTTGGCAGCAGTCAATAACTGACATGAAGGAGAAAAGTAAATCTGTCCCTAAACCCAAGCAGAAAGCCTGGCCACATTACATGCACTGGATGAGGAAGTCTGTTTTTCTTACTTCCGAGCTTTTGTCTTCTAAAACTTACCATGAAACACACCACATGCTTAAATCAGAACTTTGCCACCTGGAGAGGAAAAGGTAGGAAAAAGGAAGGGAAAAGATTTACCTTTCAGGAGAAAGGAAGGGAAAAGATTTACCTTTCAGGAGGAGCGTTGTCAGTGTTGCTGCTATGCCGTCTCTGCATTTTCCTCAAAACCTTAAAACACAACACGCTCAACATTAACGTTGTAGGTCACCAGTTCTCAGTGTGACTAACAAAGGTCCACAGAGTCAGAGGGCTGTGAAACCCCTTCAGCTAGTGACATGGCTGGAATAAATCACTGGCTTCTCTGGAAGAGAAGCTTGCAATTGTTATGTGGTACACTTGTGAAGAAGCAACTTTCAAATGGCAAACAGGAGTGCTCACAAACAGGTCTCCAAGCAGGGCAGGCATGAGTCAGATCCCCTTCTGCAGCATGGTGCAGTCACAAAGAGAGTACACAGGTATGATGGCATGGTCTCCAACAGGAACTTCAGAACATCTGACAGAGTAGCTCTAGATGTGACATGTGAATCAACATATGCTCTCTGCAAATGAAATGCATTCCTCTTCTTCTGAAGAAACTTCCCGAGCAATAAAAAGCAAAACTGAGGGGAAAAAAAAGAAAATGTGTAAACATTTTTAATGAAAAAAATACAATCAAGGCATGACAATATTCTTTTAAACAGGCAACCCCTTCCTTTTAAACCACGGATTGCCATTAGCAAACTGCACAATGGCCACAAATGATATCCACATGTGCAAAAGATCACATGTTCTTGTCCCATTCATTCTGGAACTGCCAGCATAAATAAAGTAAGGTCTGGAACAGGAAATAAAAAGGCTTTGAAATTGTATTAACTTCAGGATCTTTTACTAGGACAAGGAGAGAAATTATTTAGTTATTTAAAGCTCTGCTTTCAAGTGGCTAATTTTAGGGCAACAACCTCAAACACATTACATTTTTTAAAATCAAGATCATTCAAAAGTGAAAAAGAACAGAAAATCATCAAGGCATAGCACACAGTACCTGGCAAATAATCTTACACAGTGTAAAGGTATCTCACTTATATAAAACCTGAGGCACAGGCAATTTTTGCAAGTGATTTGTGCACATTCCTACAGGCACATCATAGAAGATTTAGAAAGAGATCATTTAAATACATAAATCTGATCCTACTCAGCTTTACACTAAAATAACTACTGAATAAAAATGTAAAAGACTTTAAATACTTATAGATATCAAAAGCGATAACATTATTTATAGCATTTTATATATGGCATGAATCCATGTAATTCATGTATACAAGAGTACATGTATACATAAATAAGTGTGCAGCCCTGTATCCATAAATCACACAGCTAAATTGTATTGAACTTTTAAAAGGATGGGAAGAAACATCAATGTTTACAAAAAAGAGAAAGACACTTGGCTTGCACCATCCAGTCTTCAAGACCCCCATCAAGTGGGCTGAACTGGGACAACACAGGATTTGAGTCATAGATGACCAAAAATGTCAAGGCTTTAATATGAGACACCAACTTTAGACATCCCTTTGATAGGTAATACAAATATACACATGTAAATAAAATACACACAAGCAAATAAAAAATTGGGACAATCACATATGGCAGGAAGAACGTAACTTTTAACACATTTTATGGAGAAGATACAGGTAGCCACCAAGAGTACCAGAAATCTACTTCTCACCAAAGTTTTCAGATACCATAAGTTACCAACACTCTCCTAAATACAAATTTTGATCCTGTAACTTGAAACTGTATTTTAATCTCTAGATATATGTTTGTATTTAGGTTGTGTTCTCAGGGCTGAATTTTGTTTTACATGTATTTGTAAGTTTCATAAAATAAAAAATACATATGAGACTTCTCTCCCAGATTTTTTTAAAGCTGCCTTTGTATTGACAACACATAGTTCTCCAGGGAGCTTTTACATTTTCCCTGCGGTGTTATCTAATCCTGACCTGACAGTATCTCTGTTGACTCAGTATATAATTTTATCCCCCTTTTAACCAAAACAATAATTAAGATATGATTAATCAGTCAAGGCCCCAGGCTCACCCATGCAGGCAAAGCTGTCCTACCTATGAACAATGCCGGGGTCACTGCTTATAAAGAAATCTGCCAGTCTTCCCAGGCTACAAGCTGAGCTGAAGTCAGTGTGTAGGTAACTTTGAAACTTGGACAATCCTTCACTCCCTTCCAAACCATTAGAAGTCTACTAGACTGCGATATAGGGTGAAAACAGCTTTTGAAATGTCACATAACTATGTGGGGAAAGACTTGTTCTTTTGTCATCAGCTACTACACTTTTTTTTTTATTATTATTACTGTGACATTAATGTTTAGTATTGAAGACGTGGGACTTCGTCAGATGTGAACTTATGTATTACATCCAGAAGTCCCACAGATTTAAATTCAGATACAATTTAAGTGGACATTGTTCCAAAAGGCACTCAGCTTCAGTACCAAATGATTACATTTTCTCCAGATTAGGGGTTTTCATCTTGCACCAGTTGGACACGTTGACAGTACCTGAACAACAGGTTTAACTAGGGGTGTAAGGTGCCACAGTGGGAGACAGGGCAGCTCAAGAGGGTGCAAACACCTTCCACACGGAGTCCTTCAGATAATCCAAACACGGTCCAACTTGCAAACTCATCACAGGGCCTCCAAGCCAGCTGAGCGTAAAGCACCTGGATCACGTCGCTCATACAGGCGCACCTGTAAGAAGCACACACACAGAATCATTCTCACCACAGCACAGCGTTTCATTTTTTTGTCTCCTCAGGAAAGGCAGCGAGGAGCAGCACCTCGGTGCCGAGTCCCTGCAGACACACCACCCAACACGGCCCCTCTCCTCGGGGATCAGCGCACTGCCATTCCCAGGGCACCTGCTGGGCTGCGATCAGCCTTCATGGCATGCATGTACACAGCCGTGTGTGTAAGAAATAAATTAATATATTTCCACAAGCACGTATATAGAGAGATTAAACCACTATAAACGCTATAGTATATAACACCCACAGACAGATGCCTATAAATACAGCTGTATGCATGCACACATATCCACAGGCCAGGCCTTTACCTCCCAGCTGGGCCGGGAGTCGAGGAGGCAGCTACCCGGGGGCTGAGCAGGCAGGTACCGGGGGGCTGAGGAGGCAGGAACCGGGGGGGGGGGGCTGAGCTCCGTGCCCCGCAGGCCGCAGCCGGCTCCCAGCCGAGCGGGCCCGGGGCCGCCCTGGCGCTGCGGCCGCGCCCCCTCAGCGCACGCCCGGCCGCGGCTTCCGCCTCTCCGCCGGCGGAAGCGGCTGGGCCTCAGCGGGGGGCTCCGCCAGCCCCGGTGCCCTCCCCCGCTCCCGTCCTCGCTTCCCTCCTTCCCCGAGCCGCAGCCGGGGATGCGGGGCCCGGCCCGGTGCTGCCGTGGCCCGCGGGCGGCTGAGCGCCATGGTGCCCTGCGGGGCGCTGCTGTGGCGGCGGCTGCTGCGGAAGCGTTGGGTGCTCGGCGTCGTCCTGGGGCTCTCCCTCGTTTATTTCCTCAGCAGCACCTTCAAGCAGGTCAGTGCTTCTCTCCCCAGCCGTGTCCTGCTTGGGCGTGCGGGACGGAGCCCCCCGCAGCGGTGCCCTAAGTACGGGGGGATTGCTGAAGAGGGGGGCTTTGAAAAGCTCGGGGTTCAACCAAACGTTTAACGAAGTGCTGAGGTTAAAAGCAACGGGGTTTTGGAACCTGACCTGGAAGAAAATCTTGCAGGGACTTGGTCTGCTGCTCTCTGGTTTGTAAGCTGTAATTCCCGTAGCAAATATTCCGCAAAGAAATGTGTGCGTCTACAACTATTTAATACGCTACGTGCCCCTTTACAGTGGGCTGAGCCTGTGGTGAACTTGCATCCCCTTGTTTTACTGGGTTATGTTGTTTATATGCTGCGTGTAGCAAAAATAAAGCTATTGCAAGTAGTATGTTGTGTGCTCCACTGATGTTTGAGTTTCCTGCGCTGCAGAATTTAAAACTGTTGGGTATTTTTAAGGAGCTTGTGTGTTTGGTTGCATTGCTGCCTTTCCCTGCAGGAAGAAAGGACGGTGAGAGATCGGAACCTCCTCCAAGTGCAAGAGCATGAGCAGCCGATCCTGTGGAAGGACCAGTTCAGCTCAGGGAACAGCAGCCATCTGAGCAACCAGTGCCGGAATTCTGTTCAGGGGAAGCTCCTCATCACAGACGAACTGGGTATGCTTAGCACCAAGGACTGGTTCTGCATATTGCGGTGCTGAACGCTCTGTTGCCTCTCTGCTGATGGGGCTTCTGAGCAACAACTGCTGCTTATTACTGCTTTGTTACTGTAGAACCTCAGCTGTTGGCATTGCTATGGTCAGACTGTGTTTTGCTGTGGCTGCAGGCACTGCTGATCTGATTCTGTGCACAGCAGGCTTGGGTCCAGCTGGGCTCAGCTGAGGCACAGTACCTCCTGAGCGTGACTGTACTGTTTGCAGGACCACTTCAGGTTTAGCAAAACCCATCTGCCTTTATACTGCACCTAAACGTTGGGTCCCGCTGAACTCAGCGTGGTTGCTTGCAGAGCTGTTTGTATTTCCCTGCAGTGTGTTCCTACTGGAAGGTGTGTTGGGGAGACCTGACTGGTCTTGTACGCAGGCAGGTCAGGATTGGTATAATTAGTGCTCAGTCACAGCTAACAAGCTCATCTAACCCTTGTAAACCCAAGGATATCTCTGCTGTAGTTTCTCAAATTAACTACCTGTTTTCAGTGTGTGGAACCTTTCCTGCCATGGACAAGTGCTTCTTGTTGCTCAAGCACTGGGCTGTTCTCGACCAGAAATGAAAGGCTGTAAAGAAATCATCACATCTTTTGTGACTTACATAAATACTAAAATTGAGCACTGCCTGAGTTAACGCTCACTGATGATTCACCAAGGTCTCTAAAATCAGTGATATCTTTCACAATCAAACTCTGTGGTAGTAGTACAGCTTCTGTAAGGAAATGCTCTGGTTATATTATTAAAGATTCCTATAAACAGTGAGTATTACAGCTCCTCTGTGTGGATAAATAAGTTTCTTCATCATAGTCAACGGTAAAGAGTTATCCAGATAACAGACCAGTTAAAAGAACATGTCAAAGTTTCTTTTTTTTTTTTTTTTCCAGTACAATCACTATATTTGTCCTTTCCAGTCATGACAATAAACTATACTAAAAAGAAATAACTAGAATATTAGGCATTTAAATAATGATGCTGTATATGCTATGCTGATGTAGGTACATAACAGTTGTGCAGATAACACCAGGCTGTTGTAAAACTCAGCTCTGTGTCCACATGCCATGTCAAAGAATTGCTAATTAGGACTTGAATCAAATTAAGGAGGATCACAAACTTAATGATAAAACTGTCAGTAATGTGTCTCTTCCTACACCATGTCTATGGAACGTATAAAGGAGTAAGTCTTCACAGTTCTTACTGTTGTTTTTGTTTTTCAGGCTACATCTGTGAGAGGAAGGACTTGCTGGTCAATGGCTGTTGTAATGTCAACGTGCCCAGCACGAAGCTGTACAGCTGTGATAGCTGCCTTCCCAATGGCTGCTGCAGTGTGTATGAGTACTGTGTTTCCTGTTGCCTGCAGCCCAACAAGGTGCACAGACTTTCTTTGGCCTTTCAGGTGTTCTCAGTTGGATAGGTTCCTTTGTGGCTAAAAGCACTTGTTTGTCAGGAGCTTTTTCCTTAGAGGGGAAAATTCCTTTTCTTGGAAGGATGAGAAAGCTTGCAAGGAGTATGTGGCGAGCTATAAACGAAAGCTTAAAAAAAAAAATAATAATTCATCCTTCCTACTTCTGAGAGGAGAATATATTGAGTGCTTTGTAGAGTATTTCAGCTTCAGTGGAATTGCATTTGCTGAAGGGAAGTGATTGTAGAATAGCTATTCCAGACAGTATCAGTTTTGTGGTTAGCACTTTGTGTATTCTGTTAGCCAAGCACAGTGTAAGGCTCCTCTAGATTCTCTTACTACTAGAGTTTCATGATGTTAACCTTTCGGTGCTCCTTAAAACATCTAAGGGGAGTTATTTGCTATTCCTCTGAAATTTGAGCTGTGTAGATTAAGGTGGGTTTTGATTACTCTTCGTGAAATAAAGTCTTTTTTTTTTTTCTGCTATTTTAGCAACATCTTCTGGAGCGTTTCTTGAACCGGGCAGCTATTGCTTTCCAAAACCTCTTCATGGCAGTTGAAGATCGTTTTGAGTTGTGCCTGGCGAAATGTAGGACTTCATCACAGGTAAGCCACTAGCACACGTCTAGGGCTCAAAAAAGGAAAAGTACCCTTGGTTCTAAGAATAGTTGGTCTGTTTTGCTTGCTTGCATATGGGTACTTTCTCAGACTCTGACATTATAGCTGAGAGCTCATCTGAGGGCAACTTTCTGATTTGTAAGGTGAAATTGTAACAATAGTAAGTGAAGAGCAAAGCATAGGTTTACATCAGGATGAGTTGGTTAGCATCTCTTTAGAAAAGAGGTGATAAACTGAGAAGACCAGCTGAGTTTAATGACTGGGAAGATCTCATAAGGATGAGACCAGCGTGACTTGTTCCCCGTAGCTTCAGAGATGCTATTTACCTTATGCTGTGCTTTTAGATTTACCATCTGCATAGTCACTCAAAAAGTATGTTGCAGTATTTTCTTGCTTTTGAGAAGAGGTGAACTTCTCTTAGCCGTTAAAGATGCAGTGATTTTTATCAGAAGTTTTGGTCTAAGTGAGCATTGGGCCTCTTAAAGAAGAATTCCAGAAGAATTTGAGAGCTTTTTTGCATGCACATAAGCACTCTGGGTTTTGACCCTCGACAAAGGGTTGTATTGTTTCAATATACGTGTATTGGTAAGGTTTCTCCTCCTCTTCCCAACAGAGCGTGCAGCATGAAAACACCTATAGAGATCCAATTGCAAAATACTGCTATGGCGAATATCCCCCAGAGCTGCTGCCTGTTTGAAAGCTGCATGATGTAAACGACAAGGGGAAGGAACTGGAGACTGGAATCCAAAAGGAAGACAACAGCTGTTGCTTTACAAGAGCCTTGGTGTAAATGGTTTATGATGTTTCTGGCAGCAAACCCAGGAGGTGTACAGTGTAAGCAAGGGACTTAAGTTCTGTGGACTTGAATCTTGCTTTTTTCAGTTGATGTTATGCACCTGCTTTAGAGCACTGGAAGGGCATTCTTTGAGTAATTCTTACAACAGCTAGTGTTTTCAGATGCATGGAGTGGATCTATAAAACATAAGAAAAATCTAATGTAGCTTTGCAGCTGTACCTGTAGGTTGAGTTGTCTCTGCAGTCCAGAGACTTTCCAGAATTACGGTAATAATGAGAGGATTCTTGCTTTTAGAGGGTAAAAAAAGCATGCCTGTTGTGCTTCTTTCTCTGGAGTACTTTTCTGATATGCATGGTGTATGCTACATAGGCAAATATGAATTATTTATTCAATTTATACGGATTACTAGCTGAAAGTATTGATGCTTTGCATAGCTAGTTGTTGATGCCTTTCAGTCCCTGTTTCTTTCTATCAGGTAGAAAGGGTATTTTACATCCTGACTAAAATCGGTTGGTGTTTTTCCTCCTTAGTCAAAAGGATTTTTATTGGGATTCATTGCTTATAGAGCTTATGTTCCTCTTAGTGAATTTAAAGCATTCAGAACTCCAATGGAGTTGTTACTCTGTCAAAGTCCCATAGCACAGGAGAAGAGCAGGGATCTGCCCAGGATGGGACGTTTGTCTGTAAGTGCTTTCTTTAGTACTCTGCAAAGGTTTCCTCGAAGAGGAGTCTTAGCCTTGTGAACAGCTCTCTGCTAGTCCAGTTTCTCACAGGAAGCACTGAAAATTTAGTTGCTTGAACTTGTTCAGGCCTTGGTAGCTCAATTATACTTCACTCCTGGTTGTGCAGGAGGCAAAAGGGTGGAGTTGTTCTAGGATCCCAGTTTAATGATCTCCTTGTACACGAAGTAATTATGCTAGAATGTCAGAACGTGGTGCAAGCCCTCTGAGGACAACTGTGTTGCATGAGTTCAGTTAAACCATCAGGGTATTTTGATTTGCTGTTTGACATACTTGCTACTCTGAAATTTCAGCGTGATCAGAATGGCAGTAGAGCAGGATTGGTTCTCCCAATTTCCTATAGCTCTAGAATCTGTTTGTTTCCCTCATAAGTAATGCTGCTTGCTCAATACAGGTAGAAAACCTGTAAG